ATATGTGTAGCTTTTATTGGTTAATGAATAAAGCTCCTTTGGCCTATGGCAGGACAGAATATAGCCAGGCTGGAAGAGATAAATAGAGTAGGCGGAATGAAAGAGACACCATATAGCTGCCGAAGGAGGCAGATGTCACGTAGCCACCCAAGAAGCAAGAGCTAACAAACCACGAGCCTCGTGGTAAAGTATAAAATAATAGAAATGTGTTAATTCAAGTTGTAAGAGATAGCTAGAAATATACCTGAGTCATTGGCTAAACAGTATTGTAATTAACAAAGTGCAGTCTCTGTCTACACTGGCTACTGATATTGTAGCATTTTACATGTTGTAGAATGATGTATGAAGCACATCTTGCTTTATAATTGAGGATCCATATACAGTGCAATAAAACAGTGTAATCACATGCGGTACCTCTGATTGGTTTGTTTGCTTAACTCTCGTCATAACCCATTAACATGATGCTGCGACCCAGTTACAATCCATACTCTAAGAAACAACACTGTAGGACGTATTTCTGGTATGAACCAGGTCACCTTCAAATTGAGTATTTGTGGTAAAAACCTCGAAGAGTCCAGAAAAGACCTAACAGGGCTTTGGGGAGTTTTTGAAGGTGAGCTAATAAGTCTCCAAGAGGAAATGCTTCATTTCCTCAGAGCTGTGTCTGTCCCCCTGCTCATCATGATTCTTTTTATTTTTCAGCAGTTGTAAAGTCTTTAGTGAAATCAAGTTCCAGTCATAACAAAATGGAAAAGTTACGGGCATTTAAAAGCTCATATTCCGACCGGGCATGATGATGCTCACCTTTAATCCCAGCACTTGAGAAGCAAAGGGAGGTGGATCTCTTGAGGCCTAGGCCAGTCTGGTCTGTAGAACGAGTTCCAGGGCAGCCAAGGCTACACAAAGAAACCCTGGTGTTGTTGGGGGTTTTTTTTTGGGGGGGGGGCGGGGAGCTTAGCTCAGAGGATGTTACTAAAGATGAGTGCACTTTGATAGCATGTCCCCTGGGCAGCAGACATCGACACTGTTGAATGTGCCGTACATACAGTAGTTCTGAACTGCTCCTTGGTAAGATATTGGGGGGGGGGGGCAGTGAGGGTCAAAATACTACTGCGGGGTTATGTAGAATTGCTTTTATTTTTATCGTGTAAGTGGAGTTCTCTAGTGTATTAGTAAACGTTCTTCATCTCTGTGACAGAGCACCTGACAGAAACCATCTAAGGGAGGAAGTGTGAACTGCGGCTGGTGGTTTCAGAGTTGCAGTCTGTCACTGGGAGGCACAGCGGAGGGGGCATTGGCTGCAGGTGTCATTTGCATCAGGGCAGGCAGGAAGCGAAGAATACAGGCCAGAGCCCACCCCAGTCCCCTACCTCTGCCGTCTAGGTCCTAATTCCAAGGGCTCCCGAGCCCCAGAAACGACACCAGCAGCTGTGGACCACAAGAGCCCAAGGGGACAGCTCAGACTCAAACCTGTTATCTTAAGTACTTCTCCATATACACTCATGGTTCGCTTATATGTTTTCAGAGAGATTCAAATCCAACAGTGTGTTCGTTCTCCCATTGCTCTGGCAAAAATACTTGATACAATAAGGGAGGGAGGTTCTTGTTTTTGTTTCTTAGGGGTGTGCCTTGGGCAGAGCATTGTTGTGGCAGAAGTGGCATGACCCTAGTGACCCACTTCCTCCAGGCTGGCCCACCTGGCAACCAAGGGTTCACCTCATGGGCTTGTGGGGAACATTGCATTTTCAAAACAAAACAGTATTTGAAACAGATAAATAGCATCAGTTCTAGAAAATTTTATTAAATTATCCCCAACAAAAATCTGAGAGGCTTAGGATAATTAAAATCAGAATGACTAAGCAAATGCAAACAGTATATGGTTAGGATACGGTTGGTACAAATACTTGGGGTTTCATGAAGCCACTCAGCATTGTGAGAGGGTATTCAACCATTCAGGGGATCAGAGCTGAAACTAGTTTCTTCTGAATGCAAACCATTTTCCTGCCACTTTCTTGCTACATTGTAGCTTCAGGGCATGAGTTTTGTTGGTGTTGTTTCTGAGGCCGGTCTCACTGTGTGTGTGCCCTAGCTGGCCTGGGATTCACTGTGTAGACCAGGCTGGCCTGGAATTCACTGACTCTGAGACGTTCTCAGAATTGCCTTCACCTGCAGGATTAAAGAGGAGTGACCCACTACTTTTAGCTGAGGTTTTGAATGGGAGACATGGCGTTTCACAGTGGAGGTGGGAGGACAGAGTGACCTGGTCTTGCTTGCAGACGGTGATTATATGTGGATAAAGCATGAATTTGTGTTCACTTCTGCATCAAGGAGAAAAAAGCTGAGAGAATATTTTAAGACTGTGAGAACTGAGTCAGCCTCTGAAGGTGGCACCTATCATCCTCAGATCATCATTATAACGGGATCTAATTATTTTAAAGATGCAGTACCCGGGCAGGAACATAGCTCAGTGGTAGAACACTTGCTTAGCGTGTGTGATGCCTGTGTTCAGTCCCCAGAACCACACACACGAGACTAAGATGTAATACAGATGTATTTGTCTACTTAGTAAAGATAAGTACGTCTTTGAAGTATATGGGTGTTTTTGAAGATAAAGGAGTAACTGAAAGAACTATGGGGATTTTCTGTGAGTTGAGAAAGGGTTCATAGAATGACTTTTATCTTCTTGAGTGGGTATACACAATATGTATTCCGAAAAGTTTACCATTGTTAGTTTTCAGAAACCAAAGGTGTCTTGTCCTCTAGCTTTTTAAACAAATGAACTTGGTACCAGTGTTAGGAAATGTCATTTAGTAATTAAATTAAGGACTAATTAAATTAATTAGTAAATTAATTTAAGGACCAAAAACTCCAAAAGATTTAAGGAAAAGGTCATTCAGATGTTGCTGACTTAGTGGAGATGGAACAGGCTCTGCTGCTGGTGTTTGGAAGGAGCAAGGGTAGTAGGCCTGACTGCTGGCTGTATGTGTCAGATCTGCTTCATATTCACCACAGTATATAAAGTCTCATTCCAGAGCACAGATAGCTTATGTATAAAGGGCTGCATTAAAAACAGGATATCTTAAAACTTCCTCGCTCAGGGCAGTTCCAGAAAAGGTGATTGAATAAACTGGGCAGTGGTTGTGGATGCCTTTAATGCCAGCACTTGGGAGGCGGAAACAGGTGGATATCTTTGAGTTTGAGACCAGCCTGGTCTACAGAGCAAGTTCCCGGACAGGCTCCAAAGCTACAGAGAAACCCTGTCTCAAAAAACAAACAAACGTGATTGAATAAAAAAAAACTTGACTACCAAAACAGTGGTAAAACCATTATTTACTGTCCATCAGCTTTCCATGAATTCTGAATGCCAGTCTGATGGTGGAAACCTCAGCTGACTCTGGGACAGAACAGTAGGTGCATTGTTTGTGGATGGAGAACTGAAGCTTTCAGTGCCATAGACACAAATGGCTGTGATAGCAAATTCAACATTTATTTTGTAATTTTCATCATTTAGGCCAGAAGTTTTATAAAGTATGCCAGTCTTTTAACATTTACACTTTGCTACAGTAAGAATGTATAGGGGACTGGGGAAATGGTTCGAGATGGGCTCTGAAGTCATGAGGTCCTGAGTTGCATTTCCACTACCAACCCACAGAAGCCAGGCACCGGCAGTCGAAGCGCTGAGGAGGCAGAGACAGGAGGTCCTGAGGACTCGCTGGCCAGAGTGCTGGGCACATTGGCAAGTCCAGACTCAGCGAAAGATCCTGACTCAAAACACAAGGAAGAAATTGATTGGCATCTGATGTCAGTCTCTGGCCCTTCTGTGCACACTCAGACACACACAGACACACTCAGACACAGCCACACATGGGGACACAAAATGTAAATACCTATGGCAAAATTTTAATCTTTTTGAAGATCTTTTTCTTATCTTTATATAAAATAGGTACTTGCTTTGGATGGAGAAATAATTTTACATATTATGAACCTAAATATCAGGTTTTAGATATATGATTTTAAAAATTTAAGCTCAGTAGCTCAGGAGATGGAGGCAGAGGAGCTACTGGAAGGTCCCTGTTTACAGATCTGAAAGTCCAGAGTTTAAATATTCTAATTTCTTATGCTAAGAACAAAGAGATGTTCTTAGCATAAAATATATTTGTCATATATATAATACATTTAGAATCAATGTAATGTACCTTGTTTTTGTCACGAGCAAAAGGCAAATATTTATTAAGTGCCTTTTATGCACCAGGCTCTATCCTGAGCAGGGAGAGAGAACAGTGGGCATAGTGAGATAACACTTGATTCCTGCTTTGGGGGAACTTCATAGATCAGGATCATTAAAAATAGTAAGACATAATTGTCATATGATACAAAAAATACTGCAGCAGAGATACAGGCCTAAGATACTTCAGAAAAGATGGCTTCACCAGCCAGTTTAGTGCCACTTCTATTAGGAAGACCCCTGATTAAGGACTTAGGCTAGAATGGAACCAGTGGGTAGGGTCCCCAGATAGTGGTGTGGGGAAATGGGCATTCTGGGCCCCGGGAAGCAGCCTGTGTTCTTCAGGAACCACAAAGGTCTGCATGGCTGTGTTGAAAGGTGACTTGGTATAAGCAGATGACACAATACAGAGGTTCCATTTTCCAAATTATTGGCAATCTTATTGAGTATGATAGTATTGATTCCTTTTGGAAAGTTTTAACTTTTAGAGTAGTTTAGATAATAAATCAGAAACGAATACTTAGTCATGCATTATTAACAAGTTCTGACTGAAATCTAGATGGGGGATGATGAGCATCTAAGATAATCGAGGAGATCAAAGAAAGGTATGTTAGAATCAGTGATTGGTTGTGGGCACTGAGAACAGCCCTGTATAAATCCGTACATGATAGGATTATAGATGCATGGATCTACCTCGATCACAGAGTTATAGCTAACAGATACAAAAGCAGCGTAAAGGCTGGTTTGTTCAGAGCTTCTCTCTTTCTGTTTGTAGATGCCACTTCAAACGAGCAGCAGGAGCTCTTCTGCCAGAAGCTGCAGCAGTGCTGTGTGCTGTTTGATTTCATGGACTCTGTTTCAGACTTGAAGAGCAAAGAAATCAAAAGAGCAACACTGAATGAACTGGTTGAGTATGTTTCAACTAATCGTGGTGTAATTGTTGAATCAGCGTATTCTGATATAGTAAAAATGGTAAGCCTCTAGATTTCTATTCCTCAGATATGTAAGATCAAGGATCTGAGGTGTATGTATTGTAACTAACATACCCAAAAGGGTGTTCTTGGAAACATCCTATGGGGTGAGGTCTGGTAACACATGCCATTAATCCCAGTACTCGGGACACAGAGGCAGATGGGTCTCTGAGTTGGAGGCCAGCCACCTCTACAGAGTGAGTTCCAGGACAGCCGGGCTACATAGTGAGATTCTGTCTCCAAAAAAAAAAGGGGGGGGGGACGCCCATTGGAAATATTGTCCATTTCATTGACGTGGGCCCTGACTATAGGACTTGGAGAAAGTAGTAGTTCTCATGGCTCTTGGCTACCATATTGGATAGTTCAGACACTTGGGAGAAAGATGTAGGTTCAAACATACAGTTCTTGTGTGGGACTACTGGAGTCTGGTTCCCAGTACCCATATCTGCAGCTCACAACTGCTTGTATGTAGCTCCAGCTCCAGGAGGGTGTGTCTGGCCTCCGGCACGTGCCCTGAGGTGCACATATCTGCACACGAACACATACATGTAACTACAACTACAAGTTAAAAAAGTGAACTCCTTTATCCAGATAACCGATTATGTCTGAGCAAGCAGTCTCTGGGAATTGTAAAGGGGGCAGAGAGGGCATGTGAAGAACACAGGTTTAAAAGAAATCCTATACGGATGTTTTCTTATAGAGAATAATACTTGATTATAGCTCACAGTCTTTAAGGATAAAGAGACATCTTATCAGGCTTCTTTAATATGGGAGCCAGAAATCAAAGCACTAAAGTTTGACACTGATATGACTCCCTAAGTGGAAAATTCTACACCTGACTTTATGGATTGCAGTCCAAACAAGTGAAATAAAAATAGTGACTATAATTGCCTTTATATCGTATGTAAGGCACTCTTGAAACAAATGAACTTCATGTTTGGATGCCCAGAGCACCTCATTATAGGCATTTATAGGTAAGCCAAAATCCAGGACACTTCTTGCTCCAAGCATTTTAGGCAAGGAGTGCTCAGCACGGTGGATAAATTGTGGAATCTTTCGTGTGGAAAAGTGAATTGTTGCCATCTTTATTGCAGTAAGGGTCCTTTTGGGAGGTGCTGTTAGTAGTTTAACCTCCTCCTTCAGCAGCGGACATTGGTTCAGCCTTTGTAACTGGCGTGTTGTCCCGTGCTAATGAAATTCAAAACCTGTGCGAATGGTTAGAGTCACAAGAACATAGTTTAAACTACATCCAAACAGAAGAACAAACAACCTTATATGTGTTCTAGGAGAAGAATAGAATGGGTAGGAGGAGAGAGATTTGGTCGCAGTCGAAGACCCACCAAAGGAACTGAGGAATTTATGTTGTACTTTAAGAACAGAAATTAATGCTTTAGTGGTTTTTTTTTTGTTTTGAAAAGGTCAACCATAGACAGAATATTAACCAGAATAAAACTAGCTTCCTAAACTCGCACAGATAGTATTAAATGTTGGTGAACTTCCTGTGTTTGTTTGTTTGGTTGTTTTTTTGAGACAGGGTTTCTCTGTATAGCCCTCACTGTCCTGGAACTCTTTCTGTAGACCAGGCTGGCCTTGAACTCAGAGATCCTCCTGCCTCTGCCTCTTGAGTGCTGGGATTAAAGGTGTGCACCACCATACCTGGCTGAATGTCCTATTTTTATTTTATTATTAAAGTTTCAAGAGCAAAGATTATTTTCTTCTGTTAACTGATTTCCAGTGGTTTTTATTGAGAAATTTTGAAAAGTTGATAGATAATCTGAATATTTTTAATTTTCTATGTATTATACTGGGATTTACTCTCATTACTCAAATGAAGAGTTGTGTATGTTTCATTGTTTTTGTTGTCTAGTTTCTAGGTAGGAGTTGGGCCACTTGATCAACCTTTAACAGACTTATGAGTATTTGTTACGGGTTATTTTATTGGTGGCTGCGAGGTTAACATTTAATTTTACCAGTGACAATCATAAGATGCCCTGCTATTTGTGAAGTTGATGCCCATCAGACTATTGCTGGTTTTACCTTTAAATTTGGTTTTTAGAGCTAGGCATGGTCGTGCGTACCTTTAATCCTAGCACTCAGGAGAGGCAGAAGGATCTCTGAGTTTGACAGACCAAGTCCCAGGACAGTCAGGGCTACACAGAGAAACGTATCTCCAATAAATAAATAAACAACAAAAAAATGGTTTCGAGTTGCAACTTACAAAGTTCTAGATAGCTGCCTCCTGACTTCTAGGGTTATGGTAATGATGCCTGTCCTGAATGCCACTTTTTATGAATAGGTGGAAAGTTACTTGTACATTGCTTGTATTACCCTCTTGCCCCAGGTAGTTTGTTCCAAATAGTCATTCCCTCATTACTGTAGTCCTCCCCTCACTGGAGTCCTCCCCTCACTGGAGTCCTCCCTCACTGGAGTCCTCCCTCACTGTAGTTCTCCCTCACTATGGTCCTCACCTCTGTAGTCCTCCCTCACTGTAGTCCTCCTCACTATAATCACCCCCACGTTAGCCCAGTCTTAAACATTTACTAAACTATCTGGTGTGGTCTGTCCATCATTTTTAAAAGAAATGAGTCTGGGCGTGGTAATGCACACCTTTAATCCTAGGAATCTGGAGGCAGAGGCTGCCGGACCTCTGTGAGTTTAAGGCCAGCCTGGTCTACAGAGTGAGTTCCAAAAATGAAAAGAATTGTGGACTGGGACCACGGTGCAGTCTTGGCTGGAGAGGGAAGGATGGGTATGGTCCTAGGTCCTAGCTGGTACTGATGGTGCAGAGGAGGAAATTATGAATACCATATCACTCAGACTCTAAAATGGATCTCAGCACACGTCCTTGTTTCCGAGTAGTTTGTGTTTTTAAAGCCTCAAATCTCAAAAGTATTAAAATACCGAGAGTGGAAACATCCTTGAAATTACATAACCGTAGTAACAGGGAGGGGCTCTTGTTATAGGTGCAGAACATGCTGTGATAGAATTTGGGAGGAATGCAGAGCGGTCAGATTCAGATAGATGATGTGGTGATATTTGCCTTCCCTCTCCTCGTCCCCATCCTCTTTCATTTTAAGCAAACTTTGAAAGAGCAGCAGGTAGTGACGTGTGTGGAGGTAACATGTACTCACCAGTTGCTCGGGACCTAAGGAGGTTAGCTATCCCAGAGAACGAGAAACGCCTTCCTCTATATCTTGAAGAGATTTATAGGTAGGAACTGAATTTATAGCAGTACATTTTTTTCTGTAAAAAATGGTGTTGTTTTTCATTGATAAAACTCAGTTATACACAGCAAAGAACATAAGTCCAAACTTAATTTCTTTCAGATCAGTGCTAACATCTTCCGTACGCTTCCTCCAAGTGATAATCCAGATTTCGATCCAGAGGAGGACGAGCCCACACTTGAGGCCTCTTGGCCTCACATACAGGTATGGATTATAAGTTTGTATTCATAATGCTTACATTTCAGTTTTCTGCTGATTCTGGGCGTTTATTTAAAATATTTGACTTTTAAACTCTATGTGTTGTCGTGGGCAGGTAATTTTAGCTCTTGGGAGGCTGAGGCAGGAAGATCATGTGTTCGAGACCAGTGTGAGCTACATAATAAGAATCTGTCTCCAAGCAATTCTGTTTTCTGTCTGTAGTTATACTTCCCCAGTTGGTCGTTTCATATTCACAGACTCATGATGCATGGCTTTTCATGTCTGGGTTCTTTTACTTAGCATAGTATTCAAGGCTTATCCATGTTGTAGCAGACATGGCTAGAGAGGTGGCTTGAGAGTCTGCTCTTTCAGGCAACAGGAAGTGGACTCAGTGTCAAACTGGGGGAGGTTTGAGCAAAAGAGGCCTCAAAGCCTGCCCCATGTAATGACACACTTCCTCAACAAGGCTACACCCACTTCAACAAAGCCACACCTCCTAATAGCACCCACTCCTTATGAGTTTATGGGGGACGGTTACATTCAAGCCACCATAGGCTGTTACAACCAGAGCTATTAATACATTCATATATAAATTTTGTTTGAACATTTATTTCCCATATGTGTGTTTTTTTTTGTTTTTATTCATCTATAACTATTTTTTAATTTCCCACATAATTTTATTTCATTGTTTATTTTATTGTATGATTTTAGTTCTTGTAGAGTTGATGGCAGTGTACAGTATGTCCTGGAGAACATTACATGTGAACTTAGACCTGTCAAGGGGCTGTGTGCTGCTGGGCCTAGCTGGCTTATAGTCTGTTACCTCACTGATCTGTTCATTGAAAGAAAGGTATTGAGTCTCCTGGTGCTGAATTGTCTAGGCATTTCTGTGAGGTTTTATGTCGTGTGTTTTGGGACCTGGTTGATAGGTACATAAAAGTTTATGTTTATAACTGTATTTTCCCTGTGGATGGCCCTTATCGTTAGAAATGCCCTTTGTCGCTATTTTGAAGTTAGGTTGTTTGGTATTAGTGCAGCTGTTCCAGGTTCTAGCTACTGTTTATTTACATGGCTTCCATTCTCTGCCTTGCTTTAACCTCTTTGTTTCTGACTCTAAAGTGTGTCTCTTACAACAGCATGTGTTTGTAGGTGCTGGATCTATTGTTGTTTTGTATTTTGAGGTAGGTTTCTGCCTCCCCGGCTGGCCTGGAACTCATGAGGATCTGCCTGCTTCTGCCTTCCAAGTGCTGGGATTGAAGGTCTGCATCCCCATGCCTGGCCTCTAAATTACTTTTTAATAGAATTGAGCAGAAGTTCACCTGAAATTTCCTGCTGTACTTGGTGTAAATTAGTGGTACTGTTTTAGTAATGGGAGGGTTTTTAAAGCATGAAATTCTCCTTAGCTGGTGTTTCTCTCTTTTTTTTTTTTTTTTAGGTATAGTTGGATAGTCTTTGGAAAAGACTTTTAGCTTTTGAAATTTTAAAAGCAAAGACAGATTTTTCCATCAGGATATTTTTATATACTCATAGAAATTAACACAAGAAATTCAGCCAAGTAAACAATGTGTTTTTCATCTTTCACTGGTATAATTTGAGGCTCCATTTGAATTTCCTGAGAGAAATGGTTCTTAACATTTTGGAAGATGGTAATTACTATCAGGATACTATTTCTATGGCTGGTGAGACTGCTCAGCAGATAAAAAACATGTGAGCCTGGTCCAGTTCATAACCTTTGTGCTGCAAAGAGAGAACCAGCTTCTGCAAGTTGTCCTCTAACTGAGCATTACACACACACACACACACACACACGCAGAGAGAGAGAGAGAGAGAGAGAAGTAATTTACAAAATGGTCTCCTGGGGGTTGGTTGATGACTCTGTGGTAAAGAGCCTGTCATGCAGGCATGAGGACCTGAGTTCAGATCCCCAGGACCCACGAGAACTGACTCCTTCAGGCTATCTTCTGTCCCCCACACGTGTACTGTGGCACACTCACATGCATGCACACACGTAAATACATGCAATTAAGATTGTTTTTTTGCTGGGCGGTGGTGGCACACGCCTTTAATCCCAGCACTCTGGAGGCAGAGGCAGGCGGATCTCTGGGAGTTCGAGGCCAGCCTGGTCTACAAGAGCTAGTTCCAGGACAGGCTCCAAAGCTACAGAAAGTGGAGAGCAGTAGAGGATGACACTCAACAATGACTTCTGGCTTCCACAAGTATGTGCACACTCACACCAGCGTAACACACACACACACTTTACAAAATGGATTTTTACACAAGACACATTCAGATTGCACAAGCACACAATTTTCATTTATCTGTGGTCTCTGTCTAAAATTTTAAACTCTTGAATTATTAAAATTTGATATAGCATTTAATTTGGCTATTAAATATTTTGAGGCCATTTGAAGTGACTGTATGTGTCCAGCATGTTATAGTCGCATATTTAAGCATCTTGAGTTTTTGGTTTGTTTAGTTTTTTGGTTTGTTTTTGTTCTGGGGCTTGTTTGTCTGTTTGAGACAGGGTTTCTCTGTGCAGCTCTGGCTCTCCTGGAACCCCATCTGTAGACCAGACTGGCCTAGAACTCAGATCTGGGATTAAAGGTGTGCATCACCATGCCCAGCACATCTGCTCTGATGTTTTTAAGTTTAATATTTGTTATGTATACAGTGTTCTGCCTGCATGTATGCCTATATGCCGGAAGAGGGCACCAGATCCCACCATGTGGTTGCTGGGACTTGAACTCAGGACCTCTGGAAGAGCAGTCAGTGCTCTAAACCTCTGAGCCATCTCTCCAGCCCCCTATTGTGCTTTTATACAAGCTTCAGAGATTCATTTGTGACATTTTTAGTTGTGAGTAGGTACTGTAAATGATCTTTGCTGGTCACTGTGTGTGGCAGAGGAGGCTTGTTGTGTGCCCAGGCTGGTTTTCAACTCTTGGACCCAGGCGATCTCTTGTCTCGGCTTCCTTAGTAGTTGGGATACAAGTATGTGATGCCTGCCATGCACAGCATGGTTTTGGTTGTTGTTTAGTTTTGAGATTGTATTTTAATTATAACATTCCTCCTTTCTCCTTCCTCCCTCCACACTTTCCCATATACTACCCCTCCCCATTCTTCAAATTGATGGCTTTTAAAAATCAACTGTTATATAGTCAAGTAGTATATGTACTCATTATTATCAGGGCTGACCATTTAAGGGCTGAACAACTAGTTGGTGTGCTCTGCCTGGCGAGGACCACCTGGAGAGGTGGGAGCACTCAGTTGTCTATAGTTCTTTGTGTACTGTTGAGCCTCGTAGGTTTGTTAGTGTCTGTGTTTTTGTTCTACAGATGAAAGAGCAGAGGGAGAGCATCTAGGCTGGCCACAGTTAAGGAGTTCAGTGTTTTGCAGAATCTGTTTTGCTTTCTCAGATAGCCAGAGAGAGGGAGGAGTCATAGAGAACTGAGTTTCTGTTTCTGCTCACTGTGCCCAGGCAATGTTCTAAACATGCAGTGTAAACTACATGATATAATTTATAGATGCTCACTCTTGTGAATTCTTCATGGAATAAATCATTTTAAATCCCTTTACATCACTTTCCTGCTAACAGAAATTGGAAAGCCCGTGGTCACCATACCCCTTGAAAAGGGCCTTTTGTATACCTACACTCATCAAAGTTGCTTCTCAGGTTTTCTTCCCTGGGCCAAATGTTTCTGGCTTCTTTAGCTTCTTATCTAGGTCTTATTTTCAGGTTCTTCAGTCATTGGGACTGTTTTCTGGTGGACCTGTTTCTTTTTAATGATGAAAAGCAGAACTTTATAATTTTGTTTAGACGACCTTAGGAAAGGCATGTTCAGAACCAGTAGCATAGCAGAGCTGGGCTGTAGCTCAGTTGGCAGAGTATGTGTCTGATGTATGAAGCCCCTGATCAGTTGGTGTCGTGGGTGGAGGAAGAACCATTTGAAGTCAATGTCATTATCAGTTAAATTTCAAGTTCAAGGCTAGCCTGGACTACAGAAACTTGAGCAGTACAGCAAGATGACCTTCTGTTTTCTTACATATGTCTTGTCTTAAGGGTGTAGAGTGTGTTATGGCGTGCACAGGTGGCCGGCCAGCCTTGTAACAGACACGTGAGGTCTGCCATTTCGTTAGTGCTGAAGCCATTGCTGAAGTGTGTTCTAAGATTCGTAAAAGCAAATTATAATTCTTCATATGATGCATAGAGAAACTTCAGTAACTGCATAGAAAGTCTCATCAACTGATTTCGTATAGCTAGTAAACACTCATCAAGCTTCTGTTCTGTGCGTCTAAACCCTACACCCTAACACAATCACTATGTCTTACAATGCACACCCAGAAATGATGACCAAATGAACATTCTTTTTAGATGTGTAGTTCCAGGAAGAAATAATGCAGGATAACACATGTGGACAGAAGTTCTGGGGACAAGCTTCATCTCATAGAGGCATGATCTGACTGTGACATTTTGACGATTGTTAGCCCTGTAGGCCAATTGTTTCTTCCACCTGCTTGTAATACTCATTCAGCGTGTATTAAATAACCATCTCATCACCTGCCAAATTGGCTCCTGACAGCAGGTATTTGCTAATCTGGGCTATTCACTGCATGTGCATTGTTGTCAGGGAAATTGTGTAGATGAGGATAAGAAAGTAGGGGTCTAGAAAAATGGCTCAGCAGGTAAGAGTCTTTCAGAGGACCCAGGTTTGAGTCCCAGCTCAGACATTACAACTGAAAACTGTCTATAACTGCAGTTCCAGGGATGTGTGACGCCCTCTCCTGGCCTCCTTGGGCACTGCATGCTGCACATGGTGCATAGACAGACATGCAGGCAAAACAGCCCCACACATAAAATAATGATACGATTAAGAAACCATATACAGTTATAAGCAGCACCGTGTCCAACAATGTCTATTGGTGTAGGAATCTGGGACTTGACGTCATGCAGGTCTCCCAAGGGATACTATCTCTATGAAAAGTTGTTTGGTGCAGTGCTCAAGGAAGTGGGTGGTATGGGACCTGCGTAAGAGCTGAGGCTGATTCCACACCACCAGCCCTTTCCCTGGACCATCCCCATCCCAAGAGACACATTGGAGTTTCTTTTTTTAAAAAATCTATTTAACTCTATGTGCATTGGTGTGAGGGTGTCAGATCCCCTGAACTTGAGTTACAGTTAGGAGCTGCCATGTGGATGCTGGGAATTGAACCTGGGTCCTCTGAGGGAACAGTCAGTATTCTTAACCACTGAGCCATCTCTCCAGCCCCCACACTGGCACTTGTATAAAAGCAGCTCCTCTAACTGTATTCTCCAGATCAAGTGAATGCAGAGCTCAAGTTTCATGTCCCTCTCAACAGCTTTCTTGCCGACCTGATCCTACAGCAGCAGAGCTGTCTGTCAGATGCTTCCTGCACTCTGTTCCATGTAACTGTGGTGTGTCCCTCTTAGTTTTCCGAGCTGCACTGTTACATTCTTGCTCACACTGTATATAGTCCAGGTACCCAGTAAGCTGTGCTGGCAGCAGAACTCCCCGGTTCAACTTCTCAGAGCATTGCAGGCTTGTATGTTTTAGGATGTTTGTGCTCCAAAGCAGAATTCTCTTTTATGATTATGTTCTTTTGTGGCTTTATGAAACAGGGTTTCTCTGTGTAGCCCTAGTCATCCTACAACTCTCTCTGTAGCCCAGGCTGGTCTCAAACTCAGCGATCTGCCTACCTCTGTCTCCTGAGTGCTGGGATTAAAAGTGTGCGCCACCACTGCCCGGCTTTTTATTATGTTCTTAATGCAAAATTAACGTTAAAAATTAGGTAACCCTCTCTTAATCAAATGAACATTGCTCCCTGTATCTGGATGGGTAAAGGCATATTAACACTTTTTTTTCTTGACACAGGGTCTCACTTTGAAGCCCTGGTTGACTTGGGATTCACTGTGTAGCCAGGCTGACTTAGAATTCACAGAGATCCTCCTGCTTCCACCTCCCAAGTGCTGGGATTCCAAGTGGACCACCACACCGGTTTAGTTGTTTCTTTTTTTTTTTAAAGATGTATTGTGTGTGTGTGTGTGTGTGTGTGTGTGTATGTACACGAGTGCAAAAGCCTACAGATGCCCTGAAGCTGAGTTAACACTAACAGTTCCCTAATGTGGGTGCTAGGAACTGAACTTTGGTCCTCTGAAAAGTAGCATGCACTCCCAACTGCCGAGCCATCCAGACCCGGTCCAGCTTTTTATATCCGAATTCTAGTCCTCATACTTGTGGGGTAAGAGATTTACCCACTGAGCCATCTCCTTAGACCCCAAGTGGTTTTTTTTAGTGGTTTTTACTTTGGGACCTAATTCTCTTGTGTTTCTAAGTTGCTAAATTGACACATTGTTTAATTGTGTTTGTAATTAAAGTTATATCTTGGTCAGTCTCTTTGCCTTATGATTTTTTTGTTTTGTTTTTTTTTTTTTGAGACAGGGTTTCTCTGTGTCATCCTGGCTGTCTTAGAACTCACTCTCAAATTTACAGTGATCCACCTGCCTCTAACTTCTGAGTGCTGGGATTAAAGGCATGCACCACCACCGCCCAGCTATGCCCATACTTCTCCTTAATATGCTGCTGTAATCCTGATTTGCAGTCATTGTGCCCTTTGCCGTCGTGCAGGGTTGCACAGTGCTTCTCGATCTCAGACTCGCCCACGTCTGCTTTATCTGCTCCATCAGACCTTCCTTTCTCAGGCTTGTGCTTGTAGGGTTTGCGTAGTTATTCTCCAGGTGGACTGCTTTCAGTTTCAGCTTCCCTGCTCTGCTTTTACGTGTGTGTGTGTGTTGTGTGTAGGTCAGAGAACAACCCGTGGGAGGTTTTTTTCCACCTTCCACCACATGGGTACCAGGAATTGTACCCAGGTCAGCAGTTGGCCGTGAGTAGTGTTACTTGTTGAACCATCTTGCCAGGTCCCCTATCTAGTTTTATAGGAGCCGTGAATTTTACACACTGCCCACTCTCCGAGTCTGTGTTTAGGGGACAGCGATAGTAGTGCACTGGGGGAAGGAACATGAACCTGATACCTGAAGGCACTCTGATAAGTGAGGCAGAAAACCACAGACCTCACAGGCTATTCCCCTGGAGACTCTGCCGCTGTGATGATCACCATGACCAAGAGCGGTCTGGGAGGAGAGGGTTATTTGGCCTACACTTTCACATCACAGTCTACTGAGGACAGACTTCAGGACTGGAGATGGGACCCGAGGCAGAAGCCATAGAGAAACAGTGCTTACTGGTTTCTTTCTTACCTACACACCCCAGGGCCACTTACGCACAGGGGACTGAACCCTCTCACGTCAATCATTAATCTAGAACATGGCGTTCGAGGCAAGCCTGGTCTACAAGAGCTAGTTCCAGGACAGCTAGGATTGTTCCACAGAGTAAATCTTGTTTCTGGGGTGGGGCAGGGGTGGGGTGGCCCACAGCCTTGCCTGCACGACAATCCAATGGAGGCATTTTTATCATCTGACTTCCTCTTCCCAGATAACTACTTGTGTCAAGTTGATAAAAGCCAATCAGGACGAAAGCCAAGCTATAAAGATAAAGGTTTTTTAAAACTGTTTTTTAGTAACAGTTACCAACTCAAGCCAATAAGAGAGGTGTGTTTTTACTTGAAATGTAACTCAGAGTATTATTTTATAGGCATCATTTTGCTTTTTACTTTCTTGCAGTTGGTGTATGAATTCTTCTTGAGATTCTTGGAGAGCCCTGATTTCCAGCCTAGCATTGCAAAGCGATACATTGATCAGAAGTTTGTACAACAGGTAAGGGACTCTTAGATCTCAAATCTTATCTTAGCACTTGCTTATTAAGAGTAGTCATTCAAAATGTGAACAAGTACTTAGTAATTGTTCTTGACAAACAAAAGAGGCTTTGAGGGGTTGGCAAGACTTGGGTCAAAGCCCTTCCTGCTTTTCCAGAGGCTCTGTGTTGAGTCTCCTCCCCAGAGCCTGGTAACTCCAGCTCTGATTTGGTGGTCTTCTGACCTGCACAGGCCACACTTTTTTAAGTAGCTGTCAGAAGTTAAGAGTTTGTATCAAGGGTGAGCCAGTGCCCAATGCAATCAGTCAAACTGCGCTTTCTGCAGCTCCTCAAAAGTTTGGGGTGACCATTTAATCCGAGGGTGAAATCCTGTTTAAAAACTGTAAGCCTTTGAAACGCTGAGATGCCAGGGCAGAAACCACAGAGCTTGAGCTCTGGGCACCTTCTGGACACTCAGCATCAGCCGCCTGTCTTCCCTCTCCTAGCGCCACAGGTAAAATAAAATGGGGTACCTCTATAATTAATTTCTAAGAATACTTTTCATTTGTTTTTATTGGCAAGAGCTTTTAGACAATTTAACAGCCTCTTTTAATCATTTGAAATTGTCTGACCCTAAACAGAACTGAAAAGTGACCCAAGAATTTCTCTGTCCATTGTCTCTTTTAAAGCCATTGTCAGTATGTAAGCCTTGTTAAGGATTTGATGGTGAGGGCCTTTCAGACCACTTTCGGGTGTCCAGATGTTAAAGATTCCTCATATTTAGAACTGTTCCTTGCTCAGGGATGGTAAACACTACCACCTGCCTAGCTAGCCCTTCGAGAACTCTTTATAATCCACACAAGATTAGATATGCGCTTACAGTACGATATGTACTCAGCCATGAATAAAATCAGTCAGATGACAGTGGGGTCTTTGGGGCTATTGCGGAGGAAGGCACATCATTTTCTCATATGGTTCTCATGTGGAATGCACTCAGCACCTAGTGAAGCCACACGCACATCAAACTTTCAGATGACAGCAGGTTGAGGGAAGCTTGCTTCTTCAGCCTGGTGCTCTAGGTACCCAGAATGCTGAGCTTTTCTGGGGTGTGCGGGGAAAGTCTGGCATGGCAGGAACCATTTTCTATCTCTACACCAAACTCCTAAACTGTCTGGGAAGCCAAGGCAACAATCTGATTCCAGCAGTTCTGTGTGCTACCTACAGGGGCCTGTTTTAAGGAGGCTGCTTGTTCATTTTCTGGCTGCCCAGGCTTCCGAAATAATCACACAGAAACCATGTTATTTAAATCACCGCTTGGCCCATTAGTTCTAGCTTCTTATTTGCTAGCTCTTACATCTCAGTTTAACCCATCTCCATTAATCTGTGCATCACCACAAGGTCGTGGCCTACCAGCAAAGTTTCCAGCAGTAGCTCCGTGGCTTCTCCCTGACTCTGAGTCTTTTGTCCCAGCATTCAGTTTAGTTTTCCCTGCTTAGCTCTACTCTACCCTACCACAGGCCTAGGACAGTGTCTTTATTAACCAATGGTAATCCCAGCATACAGAGGGGATCCCGCATCAGCTGCCTCTGGGGCATTAGGGTTGCTTCTGTAAATTGCCATTTGAGAATTCTCAGCTTTTAAGAGTTTTAACACTCAGAATAGGAGAGATTTGTTAAAAGTCCGGTGTTCGGGGACCCTGTATAATTTAAATTTATGTTCTTTCTCCAAAGAAGACTAAGATGTAATCATTGTTTTTTTGTGACACAGAACCTATCATTTGAACATGTCACAGACTTGTTAAGCTTGTTGTAAAGAGTGAGCCCATATCCAGTGCCACAGCTAGGAAATGGCAGAGTCTGGATTTGAACCACAGCAGTGGTTCTCAGCCTTCCTAATGCTGCGACCCTTTAACACAGCTCCTCGTGTGCTACTGCCTCCCAGCCATAGCATTACCACATCACTGCTGCATAGCTGCCACGTTGCTGCTGTTCTGGCTCATAATATAAATATTTAGTATGCAGTATGTCTGATATGAGACTTCATGGGGTCTCAACCTGCAGGTTGAGAACTACTGACCTACAACCTTTGACTTTGATTGAATTACTCAAAAAATACTTTGAGGGTAACAACCAGAAAAACCAGGTTTCCTGATATGAATATGATATGTCTAATGAGGTTTATTTAATTATTCAAAATATGTCTAGCTAACAAGAAGAACTCACAAGCTTAGTATTTCTCCCTTAGAGATAAATCTACTTGGAACAAAATCAAGTAAACCAAAATCAGAAATATGGACTTAGGTTAGTGAGAAGCTTAGCCATTTTTAACTGTAATAATTTGGATCAGTGCTTTTGTTCCACAGGTATTTTTGGCTGTATCCTCATGTAACCTAGCCAAAAATGAGTGGAAACCACAAACAAGTTACTTGTTTAGGACACACGAATGTGACCTACCACTACCTCAGAAATTCTACTTGGGTTTGAAATCTACACATAACAATAAAGTCAGAGCATCTTGTGTTGAAGGAGGCCACTTGTTAGTTTCCAGATGCTCAACCCCAAAAAATTGCACAGAAACTATATTATTTAAATCACTGCTTGGCCCATTAGCTTTTTTTTTTAAATATTTATTTATTATGTATACAATATTCTGTCTGTATGCCTGCAGGCCAGAAGAGGGCACCAAACCCCATTACAGATGGTTGTGAGCCACCAGGTGGTTGCTGGGAATTGAACTCAGGACCTTTGGAAGAGCAGGCAATGCTCTTTACCTCTGAGCCATCTCTCCAGCCCTGGCCCATTAGCTTCTTATTGGCTGACACTTAGATCATAGTTTAACCCATTTCTAATAATCTGTGTATCGCCTTGAGGCTGTGGCTTACCGGTGAAAGTTTCAGCATCTGTCTCCAGGGGCAGCTCCATGGCTTCTCTCTGACTCCACCTTCTTCCTCCCAGCATTCAGTTTAGTTTTCCCTGCCTACCTCTATTCCCCTATAGCTCTGCTATAGGCCCAAAGCAATTTATTAACCAATAATATTAACAGCAAACAGAGGAATCCCACATCAATCTGGTGAGGCCCAGCACCACAGTTCAGAATGTGAGGTCCCATGCCCATGCAGTTCCGTAGACTATATGGGCTTGCTGTTTGGTCTCTGAGCACCAGCACCTGGGAGCTAGAGGCAGGAAGATTGCAAGTTCAAGGTCAGCCTGGCCATGGAATGACTCCCTGTCTTCCAAAACCAAGTTTTTAAATTACTGTCATAATTTGATAAATGTTTAATGTTTTTTAACACTAAAAATTACGTTAGGAAAGAACTTTAAAGTCACTGCCAAGGTCAAAAAAAAATGTTATCTTTATAAAGTGTTTCCATTCTTTAAAATGACCAAAGGAATGGATAAAGACGAATCTGGTGAAAATATTCATGCTTTCCTCCTCTTCATTTACTTAGCAAAGGTAAAATCTGATAAGGCAGAATATTTAGGGAGAATGTTAAAGATTTCATAGGCAATCTTGCAATCAAAATTAGAAAAAAAGAGCGGTTTTAGCTCGATTATTTTTTTAAAGTAATTTGTCAGATTTTTCTTAAAGCTCCTGGAGCTTTTTGATAGTGAAGACCCAAGAGAGCGCGACTTCCTGAAGACGGTTCTGCATCGGATCTATGGGAAGTTTCTTGGGCTGAGAGCGTTCATCAGAAAGCAAATTAACAACATTTTCCTCAGGTAAACTCATCCTTTAGAGTACTCTTCTCCTCGTGCCATTCCTTTAACCAAGCCTCTTTAGGTTAATTTTGATCTGAAACCTGACCTAGCTGAAGGCTCTCGGTCATTCCTACCCATCTTGAGGTTCACTTAACGTTTTAGAGGCGCGTGTCCTCCTTTTCTGGGTCAGCAGTGATCATGAGGACAGTGTTTGATAGATGAAAGAATTCGCTGAAAAACTTTTTCTGAGCTTTTTACTTTTTTTAAACAATCATTATCAAACCAATGCCTGTAAAAGTGCTTTCTTTAGGTTTAATTAAAATCTTGCTGGGCATTGGTGGCGCACACCTTTAATCCCAGCACTCGGGAGGCAAGAGGCAGGCAGATCTCCGTGAGTTCGAGGCCAGCCTGGTCTACAGAGCGAGTTCCAGGACAGGCTCCAAAGCTACAGAGAAAAAAAAAAAAAAAAAACAAAAAATTTCATATGGGACTATGATTTAAATACTTGTGGAGCGTTTGCTTCATATTACTGCCTGTGACTCGGGTTTATTCTCCTTGTCTCAGTTCGTTGGAGACAGGAATTAGGCTAACATTGGAGGTGAGTAGTGTCACCCACACCTCATGCTGTATTTGCCTTCAAGGCAGTCCTGATAGCCTATGTTGTTTACACTCTAGAAAAATTCTGAGCAGTTGAAAAAATGAACCCCTTTTCCTTGACCTTCATGTGAGTAATGATTTCCTACTTAGAAAAGGACTCTCGTATGAGCATCCCCTTTCCTTATATATTAAGTGAAATAACCTAGATGAAATGAGACTGTCCTTCTCAAGTTGTAGCAGAGGAAATAGATCAAAAGATCAAGATTGGCTCGCAGTATAAGAGCGGTGTGAACAAAACACCTTGGGGCTAAAAAGTTCAGAGAAAACCTGTCCCTGCGGCCCTAGCTTGGTTTCGTCACCTTTTTGCCTGTTTCCTGATGTTTACATTTATTACATCTATCTTTATTCCAAATTCAGGTTTATATATGAAACAGAACATTTCAATGGTGTGGCTGAGCTCCTTGAAATATTAGGAAGGTAGGTGGTGAGGGGGGCTGTTATATTTTAAGAATTAAGAAACCGAGTGAATGTTTTATGTACCAAACAGCTGGAGTTAAAAAGTTTAGAGCACAATGCTAGTGGTCCTGGGTTCAGCCCCCAACAACAGAACAGAGATGGTTTCAGGGCCTTGGGTCTGCACAGCCTTCTGCTTTTGGAACTGTGGCCTATGCCACAGTTGTTTCAGGCTCCAGCTGGGAAGAGATGAAGCTTTCATCAAGTATTCACTACAGGAATTCTTACCCAGATGTTGACAGGCTGTTCTTTTGGAAGACTCTTTGGCATCATTTACACATTTCCTTTCTGTTCACTGCATAGAAGAATTCCAGATTATTCAAAGACGTAGGAGAAACTGCTCACTTATCACAGAACATGCTGGAAATTCTAGCAGCACTGAGACAGGAGAGTGAATCAGAGCTGCGGGGCAGTGTGTAGAGGACACTGGGTGGCAGGGTGCCCTGCAGGAGCAGAGCACAGCAGCCTCTGCCCACAGCTCCAGCACTAAGCAGATGCTCTCCTTAGGTGCAAATAGTGTAACTTCTGGAGTCAAAGCGACTGCTTAACCTTCTGCCTTTCTCCCTCCAGCATCATCAATGGCTTTGCATTGCCACTGAAAGCCGAGCATAAGCAGTTCCTAATGAAGGTTCTTATTCCTATGCACACTGCGAAAGGACTGGCTTTGTTTCACGCTCAGGTAAGAATCAGGAAAGTTGCAGATGTGAGATATTAAGATGCTCGTTTTGTGTCTAGCAAGGAATTTGCTTTGGCAAACTTGTTGGAGTTTCCATATTACTTGGTGCAGCTGTAAGCTAGACATAGAAGTTTACTTATATTCAGGTCCAGCCCCTAAACTACATGACCCTGAGTCTTATACATCAAACCCTAACGGCCTGTTAGAAAGGTCCTGGTCACCTGGTCACCTTAGAGCAGTGGTCTCCACATTCCTGACACTGTAACCCTTTAATGCAGTTCCTCATGTTGTGGTGACCCCAACCATGAATGGTTGTTGCTACTGTTATGAATCGTAATGTAGTATCTGATATGCAACTCCCAAAAGGGTCAAGGCCCACAGGTTGACAATCACTGCCTAGAGGATAATAATCTGCATATTTCATATTCATAAATATGCACTAGAAGACTAAATGTGGGTATTTTAGAGTTAACTAAGTCTTGAGCTAACAATCTGTTGAACTTAGAACTTTAAAAGTTACACAATTATGAATATATTCATCTCACACTGCAACTAAAAACTGAAGTGACATTTTGTGCAATGTGGAAATATCCCATCTCCCTAAATGCTACTTTTCTGATGTCTCTTAAACTTGTCTTGCCCTTTAGCTGGCGTACTGTGTCGTGCAGTTCCTGGAGAAAGACACAACCCTGACAGAGCCTGTAAGTGTTCAGTCCCCTCCTCTGCACTTGTCTGATCTGTGGCATTTCATCCCAGCCTGTGTATCAGCTGTCACACAGGAGGATCAACTTCTGGGCGGCGGGGAAGGGAGCATTCTCATGAGGAACTGAGTTTACTAACAGAGACGGCAGTGGACTGTCAGTCATCCTCACTGGAATCTGCTTTCTCAGTCACGTTTTACCATGAAAACACTGGGTGCCAGAGCTATCCCTGAAGTATTAGATTCAACTATTTTAGGCTAACCCGAGGGGTGCTTAAAAATGTGTATGTATGGTATTCATCTTTCATTTAAAAAGTAGTTCCATATGAACAGAAGAAAAAAAGAGACAAAGAAAAAGGCCAAGAAATACATATAGACTCAGAGACACATTCACACACACAGGAATCCCACAAAAATACAGAACTGGATGTCATAATATATATTTGAGAAGAACCTATAAGGTTTTTGTCTTTCTTTCTTTAAAAAAAAAAGATGCCTTGATTCAACATTATGAAATAAAGAACCTCCAAACAAAAAAAAAAAGTAGTTCCATATAGTATTACAGCTGAAAACAAATTTTAAGGATAAATCAGAATTCGAAGCTCTGTGGCACACATGAAACCACAAGCACTAATCGGAGAGATGACTCCATTCACACTGGTTCACACCTGGTCAGTGTGAATAAAGGCCAGGGAGAGTTCTTACGGCCATACATTGTTTTCCCTTGTGAGCCGCACCGTCCTTGCATTTCCAGCTTTTGTATCTGCACTACTGGATTAGTGAAATTTCTTTAACTGTTTGTTGAAATATATGGTCTTTTAATTAATGTTTTACTGTACCTTGATCTTGTCAGCCAAAAAATAATTATAAGTATAAATTAGTTTAGATAATGGGAAATTATCTGTTCTTTATCTCTAAAGAGCTGAGGCTTTAGCTCAGTTTGCAGAGTGCCGGCCTAGCATGCATAGGCCCTCGTAGTGGAAGGCAGAGACCGAAGATCGGAAACCCAAGGTTATTCTTGGCTATGTATTCAGTCCTGAAAAACTTCTTGTGAGATAACCTCCTTCACCTCACTGTCTTCTGTTGGAATTGGTCACTTATACATGAAAATCAGGGACTCCATCTGCTCACGTGTGCCTAGTTTCATGTCCCAGGCCCTCATATGTATTTGCTGAATTAGCCGAGGTGCAAGGCTGAGTAGGAAGTCTCATGTCCTGAGTCCTAAGTGCTTTACTTCAGAATGAGTAAGGAACCCGACGTTAGCGAGTGGAGGCCAGCAGGCTGTCTGTATTCCAGGGACTAGGATTATAGAGAAGCATCACCACATGTGACCATTCGTTCTAATCTTGGTTGGTTGTTTCTTGTAGGTTATCAGAGGACTGCTGAAATTTTGGCCAAAAACATGCAGTCAGAAAGAGGTGGGTTTGACAACAATACACTGCATCTTAATCACTCTGCAATCTCGGCTGCTCCAGAGTGGGAGGAGCGGGGAGATGACAAGCGAGCGCAGCTCTGAGCTGTTTGACTGCCTCAGTGCAGATGCCCCTTGTCTGTGAGCCTCTATTGGTGTCATGTGCTATAAATACATAGATGTATGTATCTATACATACATACATGTACGTATATTTATTAATCTATTTGGGTTTTCCAAGACAGGGTTTCTCTGTGTAGCTTTGGAGCCTGTCCTGGAACTAGCTCTGTAGAGCAGAGTAAAATTTTTAATAGGTTTTTTTTTTTTATTTTTTAACCTAGGTGATGTTTTTAGGAGAAATTGAAGAAATCTTAGATGTCATTGAGCCAACACAATTCAAAAAAATTGAAGAGCCCCTTTTTAAGCAGATATCCAAGTGTGTCTCCAGTTCTCACTTCCAGGTATCAGCCTCCCTCTGCAGTGACGTTCTGATTTTGTGCCGTCCTTTCCCCTGTGAATTCTGAGGTTTCTGATCTCTTTTGTAGGTTGCAGAAAGAGCACTGTACTTCTGGAATAATGAATATATTCTTAGTTTGATTGAAGAGAATATTGATAAAATTCTGCCAATTATGTTTGCCAGTTTGTATAAAATTTCCAAAGAACACTGGAATCAGTAAGTTGTTTTGCTTTTTAATTTAACATATACTCTAAATAGCCCTGGCCTTGAACGCAAGTATTGTTTTTTTAACCACTTGAACCCTGTACTGCAGGCTAATGTCACAGTTTTAGATGTTAAAGTTATACGTGAATGTTCCTCAGCAAGTGGTCTGGCTGTCCTGTGGAAATATGTGGCTGAGCCTGTTCCTGGCCTCCCCAAGCTAGGAACTGAAGACTATACAGTCTAACACGTGTGACATTTTTATCTTGCTACCCAGGGTTTCAGATGAGACACATGAAGGGAATCAATGTTAAACCTCAGCATAACATAGGAAGGACATAAGCTTAGCAATCAGATCATACTACACCAGCCCAATCCAGAGAGAAAAGTGTAGATTTCCCAGCTGCTGGCCTTTAACCACAACTGGCTTCTTTCCTTCAGGACCATCGTAGCACTTGTGTATAATGTGCTGAAAACCCTGATGGAGATGAACGGCAAGCTTTTTGATGATCTTACTAGTTCCTACAAAGCCGAGAGACAGAGGTACTTGATACAGTTGTGATTTAGTGTTATGCAGTTCTCATAGCTGTCGGATCTGCGGTGCATACACTAGGTGGTTCTCTGAGCTGTCGGATCTATAGGGCATACACTAGGCTTTGCAAGGTGAAACCTGAGCACTAAAAGCTGTTGTTGATAAAGGAATGTTTTATGAATTTATTAAGCCTGGCATGACTCCCCTCTGATGGTTAGATTGTGGTCTTCTGTTGATCTCTACTGAACCTTAAGCTAGTCGCATGTACACTGTAATTTACAACAGCCTGTGGTTCCAGTGCTGTGGATTGTCAGCAAGTGGTGCTGAGGTTAGCACACTGTCATGGCTCTGGCTTAGGGGACAGTTACCTGGTGTTCCTTGTGCTGTATTGTAGGGGATCCCCCCTTCAGGAGCCTCCTCCTAAGGTGGGCAGTGACTACTCCAAGATCCAGCCCTCCAATAATTTACTGAATGCATTCTTCTCAACAGTTTACCAGGGCATAGTGGGTCCCGCCTTTAATCCCAGGACTCGGGCAGTATAGGCAGGGATCTCTGTGACTCTGAGGACAGGACTGCATACTCGAGACCCTCTGTCAAACAAGCAAAACCCCCCAACGTTCAGATAGAAATAAGTACAGTCTGAGCCCAGAAGGAGGTGCATAGGAGACTACACTGGTTGTGTGACTGTTGGTGTAAGACACCAACGTCTTTAAAACGAGCTGTATTACATGTATATGGCCTGTACCCAAACTGACCATAATCTGATGGGTGGGTAGGGGTTGCCATTCTGTGGGTCTGGAAAGAGGGGCCCGAGGGTTATTTTGACCTAGAGCTGCTCTAATGACGATGGTAAATTAATCCCATGTGTGGTCACATACATCTACAGCCACGTGGGAGGGTGACAAAACAACCTGTTCCACATTCTTCACTACCTCGAGCTTCTGATAAACTGTTGGTTTCTCCTCAGAGAGAAAAAGAAAGAATTGGAACGTGAAGAATTATGGAAAAAACTAGAAGAGCTGAAGCTAAAGAAGGCGCTCGAGAAACAGAACAGCGCATACAACATGCACGGTCTCCTCGGCTGCAATACAAGTGCCAAATAAGAGCAGCGCCCTCTGCTGGGCGGGCTTTTGTCCATCTTCTGGGATGTATAAAACTTCAAAGCAACCTCATCAGTATAATACAATTAGGAGGCCAGTTTTACCTGGCGAGCGTAAGCGAAAGAAGTCGGACTAAACATAGCCCTGTGCTGATCATGGCCACAGTGTATTGTAACCTGTCTAATCATCGATTGTCACTTACCGTCTGTGTTACAGTGAGGTGGTTGATTGTGGGAGTGGTGGGAATCGCGCTGCACACAGAGCAAGTCGTTCTCTGTGCTTTCACAAGGCTGCAGACCTTGGTTCATCTGGGGAAAGCACTTCCGTAAGATAACGGAGGCGGTGTCCTTCCCTCTCCCAGAGAGATGGCGGGATAAAAGCCCAACCTCTTAAAGATACTGCCGCACTCTGGGGTCTGCAACACCTACGTTTCCAGGCTTCTGAAGCACAAAGTATTAAAGCTGGGGGAAAAGTAAACCAAACCAAAATTATGTTCCCAAATACCCCCTTCAGCAACAGCACCCCAGAATGTAACAAAGTAGCGTCAGTGGGTGGACCCTAGGCTCACCTCTCCTTCATTCCTCTCCTCTCCAAGGCTGGAGGCTCTGAGTCCCACTGTGTGATGCAGACTGCTAGCTGTCACTGCCTGGCTTTATTGAAAGGAAATGCGTTGACTATGTAGAGGCCATGTACGTTCTACCTGGTCAAGTATCTCTCACATGTTACCAGTACCATTCCAACCTCTTGCCTTGCTGTTGTACGGAACTGTTTTATAATGGAAGACCTTCACTGGGGATTGAGCAGCATTTAATAAAGTCTATGTTTGTATTTTGCCTTATGTCATCTGCTCTTTTATCTCTGGGAGAGATCTACAGAAAAATCACAACTTGTGGATGTGTTCTAGTTAAAATTAGGACGCTTATGGTCCATGGATTAATCTAGCCATTTATCAAAATGTAACCATTTAAAGAATTTTTTATAAAATCCCAAGCTTCGTGTCCCTCTGTGCCCTAGGACAGGTTTAACATTGAAGCTAGTTTTAATTAAAACAGGTGTGGGAAGGACAACAGCAGCAGGGCTGTGAAGGGCTAGGAGATTGTAACATGGTTTCAACTGAACACCAGTTAAAAATCAGCATAGGATTCTTGCTGCTGTGATACCCACGTGGGAAAGCCTTGCAGTACAATGGCTTGTGATTTTTGCTACATTTTCAAACAGTGGATTTGGCAGGCCAGTCTGCTCACAGTGAGGTACAACCCTACCACAGAACACTAAGCTCGCCTTTCCAGAAAGTGACAGGTGGGTTTTTAACTCAGTCAGTAGGCAAAAATACTTCCTACTTATCTAAAGCAAATGTCATAGCTCAGCTTTCCCAATCCAGGAAAGTGAAGCTCCTGTGGTCACTGGGGCAGAGTTCATTACAGAGGTCTGTGACCAGGGCTCCCCATGCTAAGTGCACACCCGACTGCACTTAGGAAGCCTTTCACACTTAATCTTGGTGATACGTTTATGCTTCGCATTTGCACTATAATGGCATTTTATAAAAAAAAACCTTTGGTCTAAAATTTTTGTACATCTATGAAATAGATAGCGGTGAGTATTTCATTATACAAGTTTATTTCTAGGGATTCAGCCAAAACAAAGTTTCTTGCTGCTAAATTTAGAGACAAAAATGCCCTCCTTATACACATGAACAGTTCCCTTCAGATTCCCCAGGGCCTATTGTGAATTCTTTGAATGTTACCCATATTCCCACACCATCTGGAAAAGATGGGGTCTGGGTTTATTTAAGTGCTATTTGTCAAAGCCTTAAAGGTCACCCTTTTATGCGAGCATTTCTGAAGGACATAGTGGCCTACTGAGCAGCTCATTTGTAGTGCGGTGTGTCCATCTGTCTGGCCATCTGCCATCCGTGTCCAGCTTACCTTCCCTGGAAGCAGTGGTGACGTACCTCAGGGGTCAGTCCAGACTCATGCCGCCATTGGGGTTTGGCGGTCACAGCACGCGCAAGTCCGGTATTGGTGCCTGTTGGTTTACTCACACTCATTCCTTGTATTAGCCCAACTTTATTTACCTGTTAATGAAATCGAGATACACTAAGTAGGCGACTACTGTATACATCTGTGCCAGTGCTGCCAGCAGTGGCCACTGAACTGACACCTTTGTCAGCTTGGTCCATCAGAAATGTAACCACTAGTTTCTAGTAGCCTTTCAAGTCTCACGTAAGGCTGGGAGCAGGAATAGAGGCTTTGCTTCCCAGCAGTGGGAAGGCAGAGGCAGGCCTGGTCTACACAGTGAGTTCACCAGGGCTACATTTACAAAGGAAAAAAAAAGTCTCACCTAAGCTCTGTTACTGTTCTTAAGTAACAACAGTAGGTGGTATAAAGGTCAGGAGGAAGTGTGTATACAGGATGTATCTCTACACTTTACAAAAAAAAAAAAATCTAAGGTAAAGAGGGAGACTTCTCTTAACCTGGAGCTTAACTACTTAATGGGCAGACAGGAAGAAGCCGCTTTCCACCAACCCCCTCCTCCAAGGCACTAGACAGCGCGGTAAAATGTCTGTTAATAATTTAAGTACTTAAATAAGTTTCAGGTTATTCATTGGATGTTTGCCTGTGGGCTCAGAACAGCCTCCTTCTGGGCCAGGTTTGACCGTCCAGTTGGAAAGACCGCCCTTCCCTGCAAGGTCCCTTCAAGTGAGTACAGGATTGCTGGTGGGGTTGTCAACGGGAAGCCAAGGCTTCCGTCAGTCCGGAGTGCTGGCACGGCGACCTCAGCTGATGTGGTTTGCTGCCTGGCCTCTTCTCTTGAGGTATCGCTTCCTGATTTTGATCATCCACTTCACACTTAGTTTGGCAAACTCTGCTGCTTTAAATAACGCGAGGAAAGCCCCACAGAGGAGTGCGATGGTGTTCCAAGGGTTGGCCGTGATTATCTGGGGAGCAGAAACAAAAGGGGGTGTTGGGTTGCATCAACCTCGACTCCGTTTCTGGATTCTGGACCCACAGAGACACGTGCCTCAGCCCATTCAGACTTAATGTGGACAGCTGGTCTGGAGGGCCCTCTGAGCCCCTCCTTCCACACGATGAAGTAACTCAGAGGAGATTCCTTCTCAAACTGAAAACATTCGGACTGAGCTTTAATTTGGTGGCTTGGTTCTACAAGTGACTCAGATGTCCCTAAAGTTGCCGCCCCCCCCCCCCCCCCCCCGTTACCTGTTTCCAACTGTGTCCCCACATTCTGCCACAAGACCTCTGCTTCCCCTGCTGGGATGTTGTCCGAGCTGGACTTAATCATCCTTCCAGCTCAGCACTTTCTCCAGCCACTCAGCCAAAAACCTTTCTTTCGCCAAAGTTGTTTATGCCACAGAGCCCCGCGACAGCTGTTTACTGTCCCCATCCAATACTCTCATCCCCGTGCAGTGCTCATGCGTGCTGGACAAGCACTCTTCCACGGCGTCTTCTCCCTCACCAAACTTAGAGTTCATACATTCTGGAATTCCCGTGTGTGGCTTTAAAAAAGCACTGGTCAGCCTGGTTCAGTGGTGTGTTCTCACATGCCCGGTGGCCACACCTCTCCCTTCAGGACTGCTGAGAGGCACGGTTCAAGGGCTCTAGTGGCAGGTGGCTCTGGGTGCAGAGCATCAGCACACCTCCCACGCACATCCATAAGCTGGTTCCTTTCACCCCAGCTGTCTTAGCCTCCAGCCCTCACACCTCGCACACAGCCTGGGCCAATCTTTAGGATCATGGGTGTCAGCAAAATGTATCCATCTCACAGAATCCATCCTGGGACCCGCTCTTTGGACTCTCTTCCCTGTCACCAAGACCATCTCGGGACATCTTGTGATGAGTGAGGAAGGACCACTCTTGGCAGTACTTACATCCTGGACCTTCTGGATGAAGGGATCTTTCCATTCGAAGACCACAAAGAACAACTGTGTACTCTTCTCGGCGGCTGGTCTCTGGTCAATATAATTAACCACGCTAGTCTAGGGGTGGGACAAATGGAGAATTAGCACTTCTGGGCCCTCTGTTTCCTGGACCCAGGGAGGTAAGAGCGGGAAGGGAAGCAGGCAGCCCTTGGCTCTCCTAATGGCATCTTCTGGAGAGGGAAAGTCAAGCTTCATGTACGAGACCTGTTCACTGGTACAAGAGCTGGCTGGGACTCTACAGTACTTTGGGAGCAGAAAGACTGCAGTGCCTGGTAGTGTTTTGAACTGTCACCAAAATCTGCCATCAGGTGCCAAGACTCACAAACCATTACGGAAGACAAATTCAAAAGTCCCAAATTTCAAAATACTTGAGATAAGCAGTCTAACCCTTGACGTCTACAGGGACAAAGTATAGCCCCCACTCCATATGATGAGGCAGCTCTAAACATACTTAGCAGACACACATGATAAGATCAGCCAGTCGACTATGAAAGAAGCTGTGTGAACAACCTTGGGAAGACAGGCTCAAAGGCACAGGGCCATCTCTGATCTGATGCTCACACTGGCCGCAGGAACACAATGCCGAGATTAATTACAGGGCTGCCCAGGAGGGCAGTGACTAAGGACACCCCAAGCCCCGTGGGACTGGGCAGACATCTTACAGGAGCAGCATGCTTCTGGCTCTGGGCCAAGGGACCAAAAGCTTTCTGATCAGCTCATCTGCATCCTAACAGGTCAGCACACCCCACTGTGCCTGATCCCTTTATCCACCACAATCCCTGGCACAGAAAGTCCTTCCCATGCCTACAGGCAAAGAGATGGGTTTGTGGGGAAAAAGCAAGCTGCTGGACTGCTTTTAGCACGTGAAGCCTCCACAAGGGCTACTAAAGATATCCTCATCCTACGACCCCACCCAAAAGACCCTTCCCCTCAAAGTCTCCCTCCACCACAGATCCAAGTGTGGAAGTCATCATATACGTCAAGGAAACAACCACAACCTCTTGCCGGAACTCAACAGCTTCTCGCCCATCCTCCTCTTTGGTCTTCACCAGTGACATCTTGACCCAGGTGCGGAAGCCTCCTGAGAACTTCCAGCTCGAGTAGGCACTCTCACAAGCCTGCATGAAGCCTGCCTTGTCTGAGCTTGGGGAGAGAAGGAAGGTCCAAGTTAATCCAGGCCTGACAGCTGGAACCCAATGTGGCCAAAGCCAACTCTAGTCCTGTGTGATGCTGGTTTGTTTTCTGGTACAATCTGATACTATGGATTCCCTGCTCCCTCTCCAGAATCTGGCTGCCTTACCAGGGTTGTTGGTCAGTTAGCATCAAAAGCAATGCCCAACCTGACTATACCTCCATTTGGTTTCCAAACAGTTCCACAGTAGGGGGATAGCAGCATGATCCTTGCCCCCCACTGCACCTCCACCGTGGGCACACTGGTTCCTCTCATAGCCTCTGCCCCACCAGCTCGGCCACCCACACCTGGGTTTCCAGAGGCTCCCTGAAATATGGCTAAAGTATGGCAAGCCACACTCAGTGAATTCAACCACCCTTTGAGAGGCCCCGCGATGGAAGAGCATTCCGTGGGGGCCGTACAAGCAGCAGAAGCAACACACAAGTGAGCGGGTGCAACCTCCTAGTGCCAGGGAGGGTGAGGCAGGAGGGTTCCAGGACAGTCAGGGCTACAGAGTAATGCCCTGCCTCGAAAACAGTGCTTGGTCCTAAAAGAGACGGTTGTAACATTGCCACCACCCTCCCGCCGAAGATCAGAACACTGGACACTGCAGAAGAGGGGAAAGGAGGGATGTGAACAAGATGTCCTCTCTGGACACGACAGCTACCGCCCTCCCCACAGCTGCTTATCACTGGGCCTTGTCAGCACTTCATCTTGGGGGATTATGAGTTATTGGTTGCTGGGAGGGAAGCTGTCATTTCTTTCAATAGTGTAGTCACAATGGTCCCAACCATGTTCTTGTAGTCAATTCTAGTTGAAAACAGTTTACACAGGAAAGGACATGAAGGTAGACAGACTCACTGGGGGGAAATAAGGGTTTAGGTGGGGTGAGGCTGGGGGTGAAAATGACCGAACTGTCAGAGAGTAAAAACACAGAAGCGGCAGTGCTAGGCTCAGGACCCTTAGGAAAGGTGACGGGCCTCTGCTGACTTCCAGGACGGAGGCAGGACAGCAGGCTATAAGCAGAGAAGGTGCTGGCTAGGAGATCCTGAAGGCCAGCAGAGGCAGCATGTGACTTTATCTTCAGATGGGCAGTCACCTCCCCGCCACGGTGATGTATCCTATATCACAGAAATGGAGCCTGAGCTGATCAAGACTAGGTAGGGACAGACAAGAATATTCTATTTTCTACTAAGTGTTTTAGGCCCCAGAGATGGCACTAAACCGTCCCCAGTGTTTGAAAACAGGAGCTGTCAGTGGGCAGGGACCATCTGAAGGCAGCTCCCTCCACTCTGCAGCCCAGGCCGACTGAGCCCTCTCCAGGATAGTACTGCAGGCAGAGGGCAAGCAACTCTGCACCCTTGTGCACATCTCTTAACTGCAGCCAGTGTAACGGGCCACCAGGTTCAGGGTCGCTCCCGTACCCCACCTTCACCCTACATGTTCAGCATGAAGTGCACGGCAGGAGACGGGCCCTGAGGACGTGGGACAGCCACCTTTGCATGAACTCCTGGAAGGAGGAGAAGAGGAGGTAGTCAATGGCACTGAAGTCCTCGCTGCTCTGGTTCAGGCGGAACTGGAGGAACACCAGCTCCCGCTTCTTCACTTCCTGTGGCCCCTGGACAATCAGGGCTGACTGCTGTGGGGAAAACAAAAGCCAGAGACTGAGTGCTCGGGGCTGTGCTCCCCCAGTGCTCACAGGCCTCCCCAGTGCTCAGCTCACGCAGCTCCCCCAGTGCTCACACAGCCCCACAGAGGCTTCAGTCACAAGCACTGCCTGGCAAACCCACAGCAGGTCACCCAGCAGCCTCTAGGAACTGTCACCAAACCCTCCAGCCTGAGGATGCAAAAGCTGGTGGCGGGGAGGGGGGAGGCTTCACAGCACCCAGCGCCCAGCTGTGACACACGTCCCTTTTCACAGGCTGTCCACGCTACGGAACACTTTTACTGGGTGAGGGTGCTTTTTCTTGCCCGTCATGTGTTGGTGTGCCCCAGTTAAGCTTGTTCCAGACGTCATCTACTACATGGGAGTTTGATTCAATACAGTGAATGAAGGCTGTTCGTCTTTCTCTTATGCCTTCTGGGTTGGCTTACAAGGGATGCCAATACCTCAACACTCCCCAGTATAGCCTGTCATGTCTTAAATCTTACACGTGCATACTGCATATGCCTGGCTCCCAACCATCCTGCCTTCCTGTACCCTGGACCGCTCCTGTCCTGAATGCAGCCCAGGAATGGCTGGTTGGTCCCTGAGCCAGAGCTGTGCTGCCAAGAGCATCATCCTGTGCAGTGAGTGTCTACGGTTCCTCCCACGTTATCCTCGATTTTCCAGGATGTGCTCACCTCTCTTCTACACAAACTAGCCTGTCATGTCCAACTAAAGTCCCCAGGATGGCTCTCGGAGCTGGAACTGAACTGACGGAGTAACCCGAGACCACCTCACCTTTCCTCACCTCTTACCTTCCAGGGGACAGGCATGTGCTCAGAAACTGACCATGACCACGTGGACAGGACAACAACACAGCGCAACACTGCTGGGCAATCGCGACAGCGCCCATGTGACCCTGGCTGCCAGTCAGGCTGCTCCATCAAGAAGCGCATTTGGACACAGGAGCTAAGCCCATACTCTGACCAGCGAGCACTTTGTCAGAGGGAACCGATTGTTATGGGAGCTAGGAAAGTCCAAGAGATAGCATGAGCTTCACCTGTGAGAGCCCGGAAACCCAGGCAGGGAGGACGCGCCAATACTACAGACTAGAAAAGGGGTGAACCTGGCTGTACGAAAGCAAATCACTGGCTACAGGCAAACCACCACAAAATCCAGAGCATAAGAAACCAGGAAGTCAACAAGACCCGGAAGATGTAGGCAATGTGACCCAACAAGACCCTCAACGGGGGTCACTGTCAGAGGCCTCAGTCAGCCAGAGCCTGCACAGTTAACAGCTCACGGCAGCGAGAATAGGCCCCCTCCCCACCTGCCAGCTCAGCCCCAGTCCCCAGATGACTCAAGCTGAAAGCAGATCCAAGGAGGGCAGTTTGCTAACATCCAGTTCTGATGTGACCACAGAAGCGTCCAGCAACGCAGATCAGCTTGTAGTTGAGGCCACAGCAACCGGAGAGCAGCAGGAAGGAGCTGCCTGCACAGTGCAGCAGAAACGCAGGCCCTGGTGGCATCGCCATGGTCGCCGAGAACCTTCCAGGCAGCTGTACCACACAGGCCCTGCCTGGCTGTCACCGGAGTGGCAGAGCTGCCGTCAACACTCGTCTCCCTCGCCACACGGACACTGGCACATCGTGTTTCTTTTCTGAGATGGAACCTCAGTGTGGCACTGAGGCTGAACGGGCCTCAAGCAAGATCCTCCTGCCGCGGCCTCCTAAGTGCCCACCCCACTCCTCATTACATCATCACACACCGGGGTTTGCTCAGCGAGCAGGTGGCCAGGGAGGCGGAAACTTCTGAGGTTCACAGCTTGTGGCTGGAAGGAGCTGATGAAGAAAATCAACCGTCCCTCAGAACTGGCGGGGGTGACAGCATCTAACTTCCTTCCCATGAAAACACCCTGACTTTTGGTCCCTTATTTTATGGGTTTTATATTTAAATTATGAACTCCTACAGCAGTACAACAGTCTTGAGTGTGAGCAGCTGCCTCCTAGGAAGTGTGCCACCCACAGAGGAGAGGAAGGGGTTCCCCGAATGGGCACAGCTGCACCCCGTGCCATCGTGCATCTCAGAGGGAAAGAGGAGAGTCAGGAGTGCAGATGCAGTCCCCTCTTCTGGACTGGATTCAGGTCACTATTTCATGTTGGCCTCATGGACATGCCCAGTGACACCAACTGCCCATTCTCAGGAATACAGGATTCAGATGCCAAGTACGGGAAGACGTCTCCCTGGTGCTCACATCCACTTGCCAACACTCTCTACCCATGGGAGCACTCTGCAACTGTGGGCAAGGAGCACCTGAGGTTCCTGTGGGCAAGGAGCACCTGAGGTTCCTGCAGGAGTTCTGTCTCCACACCTGAGCAGAGGGCCTTCCCTCAGCCTGTGCAAACGTTGTTCTGAGGCCTGGCACCCAGAGAAACACCTTCCCCAGCAGCTCTGCAACCGGAGAGGACAAAGTCCTGGAGCCACAGCCGTCAGCCATGCTCCAAACCCAGTCATTCAGTCACGTGGAACTGGGGGCCGGAGGCCTGCATTGCCTGTCCTGTCCTGGTTTGTGAGCCTTCTCTGCTCAGCCAGCTCCATCAACCAGTTCCAAACAGTGATCTGCACTGTATACGAGCTCCTCTGGCCTTCTGGTCTACCAGAAGGGCTTTCCTCACGCCCTATCTGTCCTCTCCTGCTTTTCATAGAGTAGAAATCATTTCATCAGGCTTTAGGGGGTGGCCTGGAGACTAATCAGCTAGAATCTTGAGGTTCCTCTCACCCGAAGGACGCAGGATGGACCCTACAGCAGGACACACTCTCTCCTTTGCTTCTGTCCCTAGCCACATCTCACTCACATACTCGGCCTCCAGGGCACCCACCATTGCCTTGCACAGAGGCTCGGCTGCACAGTGCCGGTCCTCTCCATCATCACGCTTGGTGTTTCGGGCACTGTTCTGCTGTGAAGAGACTGCATGACCAGGGCAACGACAGCACGACCAAGGCAACTCTTATAAAAAAAAGAAAGCTGGGGGCTCGCTTACAGCTTCAGAAGCTTAGTCCACTATCGCTATGACAGGGAGCATGGCACCGCGCAAGTAGGCATGATACTGGATAAGCAGCTAAGAGCTACATCCTGGTCCACAAGTCCACAGAAAGCAGGCGTGGAGAGAGGGCCACTGGGCCTGGCATGAGCTTTTGAAACCTTCAAGCCCACCCCCAGTGACACACCTCCCCCAAGGCCACACTTCCCAATCCGTCCCAAACAGTTCCACTAACTAGGAACCAAGCACTCAAATAAAGGGCCTCTGGGGGCCGTTCTCATCCAAATCACCAGTCACCAACGTCCTGTGCCCAGGAAGCTCTCAGATGGCCCCATCAATTCCGCCCCTCTTGGAGGAGTAAAAAAGCCAGGATACAACAATGCAAAGCCACACCCCTGCCCTGTGTGACGCAGGGAGTCAGCCATCCTCACCACCAGTATACCATCTTTACATTCACAAAATATGGATTCCTAGACCCCATCCACAGGCATGGTGACAGTTCCTGGAACCTGGTATTTCCAGGGGGACTGCTAACCACAGGCAGACCCACCTGCAGCCCCGCCACCTCCCACCAAGGCAAGAATCCCTGAGGGTTATCAGCCCCAGTGGTACATATACCACGCTCTCACCGCCAGGACCATGGTCCACGCGTACAGGCTGTAAGGGAAGGAAGGCGGCTAACGAGACCACCCAGAGACACAGGCATTACCATGGTGTGATTGGAGAAGGGATGGGTGTAATTGATCCTCTGGGTGGTGCAGTTCCTGTCTCCCGGCTGGCCAGGGCTGGCAAGAGGTGGGATGACCTCATAGTGGTGCTTACAGCTGAGCAGCTGGGCCTGACCAGGGTATAGGGCGATCCCTGGAACAAACAGAAACCGCAAGTGTCAGAAGCCACAGTCCTGGGCTCGTCACATTGTCTCACACCTGCCTCCTTGGGACAGCGCCAAGATGGGAACAGGAAAGGGGGTGAAAACACAGCTGTACCCCAATGGAGGGCACTCAGCACCTCGGTCACCCCTCACCTCACGGCACACAGCTGCCTCGCAGGCCCCACCTGCCTGGTGCTGCTAAGACTCTGGCTGGGGGGCTCCCCAGAGCTCACTCTTCTGCTCTGCTGGAGTTTCAAGAACACACACCACACAATGTCCTGTGTGCTCTCAACTCAGGCTCCCAAGCCAAGACTCCAGAGCAGAAACCCTGCCGACAACACACGGTATTGAGGAAGAGCTGAGGATGGGAGCACACACTGTGAGAAAAACCCACAAGGAGCCCAGACCAGCAAAGCCAGGGCGAGAAGAAATGACCAGCCCGGTTGCAGGGTGACGTCTGGGAGCTCTGGCTCCAGCCTGTGGGCAGGATGTCCTGGGGTCACTGGGGCCAGAGCAGGAGGCACACTCATGGCAGGCAGGGTCTGAGCCCACACTCCTTCTCTAGTGCCACTACACAGAGCCAGCCAGACAACAGTCCTCAGGGGTCAGCCATCCCATCACACAGAGAAAGGTACACAGAGTGGCCTGGAGCCCTCTGGGCTAGGCCCTACATGATGTGTGTACCCGCCTCCACATTCCACCATACAGTATTCTATCTGTGTGTATGCCTGCAGGCCAGAAGAGGGCACCAGACCTCATTACAGATGGTTGTGAGCCACCATGTGGTTGCTAGGAACTGAACTCAGGACCTTTGGAAGAGCAGGCAATGCTCTTATCCACTGAGCCATCTCTCCAGCCCCGCTGTGGCACTTTCAATGAGAACATTCCCATGGTCCTGTGTTTGAACACCTGGGCCCCAGTTGTCGGAACTGTTTGGGAAGGACTAAGGAGATGTGGCCTCGATGGAGGCGGGTGTGTCACTAGGGCAGGCTTGAGGTTTTGTTCCCAGTTTGCTCTCTGCCTGCTTTCCATTCCAGCTGTGAGATCCCAGCTGTTCCTGCTGCCATGCCTCTGCTCCACCATGGCAGCCTCGAACCCTCTGAAACTGTAAGCCAATTAAATGTTTCTTTTTTTAAGTCACCTTGGCCTTGCTGTTCTGTTACAGTAAGAGAAAAGTAGCTAATACACTGCCCTATTCCCTGGCCCTCAGCTCTAGCAGGAGTTCTCGCCTCTCTCCTAAGCAGCCCACTGCCTCCTGTATACACCCCGGGCTGCTCCTCCTCCCACAAGCACTTGCTGCCCACCTCGTGCCTAACCAAGTCTGGCTCCAGTGCCACTCCTCCCTGCCCGCTCGGTGCCCCATGGCCCGGCATTAGCTCTCAGATGCATGCCTACAACTCATCTCCACCTTGCTCCTCTCTGCCTGGGCTGGGAACACAGTGGTGGCTCAGGGAGGCAGTGTCTGCTAAGCAAAGCTCCAAAGCCGGGGCACTGATGCCCAGCCCGGCAGGCCCTACCTGGAGCGTCGTAGCGGTCCACCTCCTTGTAAGACACAGACATGACGGGGTGCTTGAGCTTTTCTCGGAAGTCTGTGATGGTCTGGTAGACCAGGAAGACGGCCACAGCCATGAGCAGCAGGTAGATGAGGATGAGCAGGACCGAGAAGACGTTCTTCAGGCAGGCCTTGCTGAAGCGGATGCTGCTGGAGGCGGACTCGCTGTCGACGCCTGGGGGCAGGACAGCAGGGTCACCAGAGCGGCCAGCAGTGGTCTGCTCCCCCCCTCTCCAAGGCCACCGACGTTACCAGTAGTCTCCGTCAGGCCCACATGCCCTCCCTTCCCCATCTTTCAGTCCTGAACTGCTTGCTCTTATCTGCCACTCCTGGGCCCATTCTGAAGTTCATAGCCAACTCTACCCTGCTCACTTAGAAATCCCCTTTCCCAAGGAAACCTTCCCTTGGTGGCTAATCTGACTGGGGTCTCCATGCTGAGCAAGGACATGAGTGTCCCTCTGCTATGTGATATAGATGCCATACAGTAACCACCTGTTACTGCTACCATGTCTAATATGATGGATGGTGTCCTCTCAAACCGTGAGCCAAGTAAGCCCCTCCTTCCTTAAGGTGCTTCCTGCCCAGACGCCAGCGCTGCAGTGCCTTGACCTCGGACACAGGCACCAGGCGTAGGTTCCTGATATGAGCCACCCAGGATGGTGCTTGGACAGCAGCCTGGTTCACCCGACTGTGGTGTTTTTCCCTTCATTCCACACCACAGTTTTGAGGGAAAGGTCAGCTGTCTCTGTGGCTGTGACTTCCAACAGGGACCAAGTGGTGTGGTCACACCACCTGCCTCAGATGATGACCGTAAGATCTGAGCAGTGTATTAAATTTAATGAAGATATTAAAGAACACAGGCTGACAAGGAAGGACTTGACCTCTAGAGGTAAGAATGGCCCGTGAGCAAGGCATCCGTCCAAAGAGAATGGGTAACGAAAAGACAGTCCAAGCAGGAGGGATAAATCCTGGTCTCACTGCAGTGGCCCCGCAGTCTGCCCCAGCCATACAACTGTCATCCACATTCAGAGGAACTAGTTTGGACCTAGGCTGGTTCCTTCCTTTTTCAGCTGGAGTTGCTGAGCTCCCATTAGCACAGGTAAGCTGTTTCAGCGGGTGTCCCCATCATGGTCTTGACCTCTTTGCTCATATTCTCACTCCTGCCACTCTTTGACTGGACTTTGGGAGCTCAGCCCTGTGCTCTGCTGTAGGTCTCTGCCTCTGTTTCCATCAGTTGCTGGATGAAGGTTCTATGGTGACATTTAAGATAGTCATCAGTCTGACTACAGGGCAAGGCCAGTTCCAGCACCCTCTCCACTACTGCTTAGGGTCTTAGCTGGGGTCATCCTTGTGGATCCCAGGGAATTTCTCTAGAGCCAGGTTTCTTGCTAGCCTCGTGGCTCTCTCAATCAAGATAACTCATTCTCTTTGAAGGGATTCCTTGCTCAGTCTACATACAGTGGGAGGGCCTTGGTCCTACCTCAAAGCAATGTGCTAGACTTTGTTGACTCCCCTCTCTGAAGACTGATGGTGGGTAGGGTGGGGAAGAAAGTGGAGGGAATGGGAGGAGGGGAGGGAGTGGAAACTGGGATTGGTATGTAAAATGAAAAAGGATAGTTGTTTTTTTTTTTAAATAGATTTTTAAAAAAGAAAAAGAATGATCATTGAGATGCAGAGTTGCCTGAAGGTTCATATCAACCTCCTAATGACATGGTTCAGGGTGACAGAGTTCAGGGCTCAAGTGAAGGGGAAATCCTGAAAGTAGGGGAGTCCCAGAGAGGGGAAATCCCTAATTCTGTGCAAGTCACTGGCTGAATATCCTGAGGGCTGGGGGAAGCAGAGCTGATGTAGGAAGAGAAATGGCCGATTCCAGCTAGCAGCATGAAAAGACAGGGCCGCAGAGTACCTACCCACCGAGACAAAAGTACTTCAGAGCCACGGCAGCGCCCAGAATCTACAGCAGTGCTGCCTGGTCTCCTCCCACCTGCCCAGGAGACACACACCTCTGGAGACAGGGGTTTTCCAGAGAGGCCGGGAGGACCCGCAGTCTGCCAATGGGCTACCCAGATAGAAAGTGTCCCCAGGAGAAAGCAGTGTGCCCTGCCATCTTGGCTGTTTCCTGAGTGAGTCCTGCAAGTCCCTGCTAAGGCCTAACTCCAGCTTCCCAGGCCTTCCAACCTAGAGAGAAGGCCAGCAGCTCTCCAGGAAGCTTCCAGGCTCCTGCACCAGAGGGGACTGCTGAAGAGCCAAGCTCTGTGACTATGTGGCTACCAGGTTCTCTGCCTCTCCTGCACGCAGACAGACATTGCCAGGCTTCGCCATGTAAGCCAATCTGGCAGATGCTGTTCTGTACACACACACGCACACAAGCACACACGCATAGATACAAACAGACAGACACACGTGTACACAGTCTATTAGTTCTCTTCACCTAGAAGAACATGCCTAATACACCAGTGTTCAATTAAAACTTACTAGACATGAGGGGCTACAGAGACAGCTCAGCAGTTAACAGCACTGGCTATTCCTACAGAGGTCCTGGGTTCAAATTCCTAGCACCCACAGGGTGGTTCGCAATCATCTGTAACTCCAGTACCCTTTTCTGACCTCCACAGGCACCAGGCACACATGTAGTATACATGCCTATATACAGGCAACAGGCAAAACACTAATACATACAAAATAATAAAAGATGTTTTTTAACTATTTAGTTAAAAAAAGACATGGAAAGAATTTTTTAAAAAATGTGGCTTAGGACCAGCAAAGATGGCTCAGCAGGTAAAGCACTCGGGACCAAGCCGAACAACATGGGATCCATCCCCAGACCCACGTGACAGAAGGAAAGAACAACTTCCGGAAGTTGTCCTGACTTATGCATGCATGTGTGTGCACGGGTGCGTACACACAACATTTAAAGGTAAAAAAAAAAAAGAAAACATGACCCAGTCGAGGAAGACAAGCCTCCATGAAGATCAATGCTCAGACAAGCCGGCTCCTGAGCCACCGAGCACTGGGCAGTAGGGAAGGGATGTGCCTGCTCCGTGGTGCTGTCCCTTCCACCTCCATTTTGTGTCTGGCATTGTTCTCCTAGTTGGCATCTGCGGCTCTGTGACATCCACTCCTGCCATCGTCACTGCCAAGGGGAGCGAAGAGAAGCAGGTCCTGTTTCTTCAGCAACAGGAATTGCTCCCCGAGTGCTCCCCGCAATATTCTCCTTAACAGTGAATTCATCGTTTCCTACCAAGCAAGGCTCTCAGAGCTGTGAGCAGCTGGGAACCCCAAACTTCATGTCAGGTCCTACTCTCAACTGGGTCATATGCCAGCTCCTTCAGTTCAGAAAATAAAGGAGTATTTTCTGTCAGTGCCCCTTGGTGCTGCAGGCCCAAGTCAGCCAGACTCTGCAGTCTTGGTTGCCTGCTGCTCTCCTCTCTGTCCTGAACTCCTTAGCACAAGCTAAGGAAGCCATGAGAGGCCACTGTGCTGCCCAGTGACAATCAAACAGACTGAGGTGCACGTTCAAGAGAAGGCCAACTACTATGGAGGCCACCAGGTATGGCAGAAATATCTGGTCCACTGCACACCAATCTTAACACTGGACCAAAAAGATGAAAATGCATGGTTACATAATGCTCCCTAAAGAATGTAATTATTAGCAAGATGTCCCAAAGAAACCCAGATGGATAAGATGCCTGGTCAGCGATTTAAAATGCGATTAAACTGTTGGGTGAAAACAGGAAGACGATATGAGTGGGAAACGCGGGACAGTGGGAGGCCTCAGTGGGGAATGCACAGGGCTCAGTGAGAAATGTTAGGGGAACAGAAACCTATTCAATGAAACAGGGAGAAAACTTCCCTCATCTTAGGAAAGACGTGGACACTGAGGTACAAAGGCTTTAGAAGCCCAGACAGACATGACTAGGAGACATCTCTACCATGGCATGTTACGGTGCAGACATGATTGGAAGAGATTTAACCACGGCATGTTACAGTGCAGACATGACTAGGAGACATCTCCACCACAGCATGTTACGGTGCGGACATGACTGGAAGAGATTTAACCACGGCATGTTATAATGAAACTGCCAGAAGTACACGAGAAAGCTGTAAAATCTGCAACACAAAAGTCACGTTAGGGACATCCCCACTAGACCAACAGCAGACTCCTTGGTGGAAACCCTGCAGCCAAGAGTTATTATTATATTCAGTGATGAGATCTACCTTCAAGAATGCTGGAGAAATAAAGGCCTTTTAGGAAAAAAAAAATGAAAGAATCCATGCTCACAGGCGCCTTCCAGAAGCTCAGAGTGCCCTGTTGGCATACAGGCTTAAACCAAAAGAATGGAAAATGACATTCTAAGCAAACAGAAACCTGAATCGTGGAAAACCTAAGGAGTGGCATGTGATGTGGGAGGGTCTTCTGTTTGGTTATAAAGAAACAGCCTTGGCCCTTTGATAGGACAGAAAATTAGGTAAGCAGAGTAAACAGAACAGAATGCTGGGAAGAAGGGAAGTTAGGCCGATGCCATGGAGCCAGACGCCATGGAGCCAGCCACCAGGTCAGACATGCTGAATCTTTGCTGGTAAGCCACCACTTTGTGGTGCTACACAAATTATTAGAAATGGGTTAACCAAGATGTGAGAATTAGCCAAGAAGAAGCTAGAGCTAATGGGCCAAGCAGTGTTTAAAAGAACACAGTTTCTGTGTTAATTATTTCAGGGCATAAGCTAGCCAGGCAGCCGGGAGCTGGGCGGCAGGAACACAGCCCGCTGCTCCTTCAACAGCCCATGATTGCAATGGACAAGAGAGACTCCAAGGCAAGGATTATAAGACAAGGAAGGCTACCACACAGTGGCCAAAAAACCAATTCTCCCAGAAGACAATGACTTTGAGTTTACATGAGCCTCTTCTCAAGCCCATAAAACAAACCACTGCCACACCTGAAGGGGAGCAGGACCCAGAGCAAACACAACCTCAGCGCTCATCCTCATCAGGGACAGATCAGCCAGACGAAAACTCAGGAGTTCAAACACTCCACAAGGCGGTACCTGATGTTACAGACATCCTGCCCGATGGGTGAAGGATCTTCCTGGGTCAGTGGGCTCCTTATCTGTGGAGCCATCTCCACTGCTCATGACGACCTCACGGTAAGTCTGTCTACATTTAGAGTCATCTGAGAAACAGATCTACAGGCACTGAGGCCACTTCCAGAGGTCTACCCTAGGAGGAAGGACCCAGACTCAATCTGAGTGGTGCCATTTCTGCCATTTCATTGTCTGGATTAGTTCACCGCTGGCCTCCACATGCACACTCGTGTGCGCAGACATACACAAGTTCACACATGAACACGTGCACACCTATCCCACACACAGAGAAAAATGACATTTATATATTTGCAGAAGCCGATGGAACTAGACAACCTGGCGCTGTGTGAAGTAGATTCACAAAGCAGGACCCTCATGATCCGATGTGGGATTAAAGAGTCAATCTGACAGTACATCAGCGGTCAGGCAAGGCCGGGAAGGGCAGTGGGGCAGACACAGGTAAAAAACATAGTGCATGCATGTACTGAAAATACACCCAACAGCATGTGGGGCCTAAAGAGCAAGAAATGAGACTACAAAGCACAGTAGTTCTCCAGAGACGCAGTGGAATGCACAGAAAGGAATTCCAAGTAACAATTGAGAAAACACAGTGAGAGGGAGCAAGCAAGTCCTCACCGACACCAGAGTGGGCGCGTGCTCGGGAGGGGAGGAAAGACTCGGCCAGTAAGAAATGAGAGGTGGTTCTGCCTCCTGGCTAAGAGCACTGGCTGCTCCTCCAGTCTTGAGCTCAATTCCCAGCAACCAGAAGTGACTCACAACCATCTATAATGGGATCTGGAGCCCTCTTCTGGCATGTAAATGTTACAGCACTCATATACATAAAAGACATAAATCTGAGAAAGAGAGAGATATGAGGATGAAGTCAGGCATGGTGGCACACACCTTTAATTCCAGCACTTGGGAGGCAGAGGCAGGCAGCAAGTCCAGCTTGTTCTACAGGGAGAGTTCCTGGATAGCCAGGGTTATACTGAGAAACTATCTCAAAAAACACCAAAAAAGGAAAGAAAAAAAAAACGTGAGAAATCAAGATGCCAATAAATCAAAAATACAACTAATATCTGCAACAGCAATAGCAGACTAGACCAAGCAGAATTTCTAGACTTGAAGTCAGGTCACTGATAAGCGAGCTGCAGACAGAGCAGAGTGCAGGGAAAACCGCGGCATCCATGGAAAGCCATCAATCAGAGATCCACACAATAGACACTGCAGAGGAGGAAGGGATGAAGGAAGGCACAGAGAGCATCATTTATAATAGCTAACCGCCATCGAGTAAGGTGTGGACTCAAGTTCTAGTCACTGCAAAGAGCTCCCTTTCAAGACATTCTTAGAAGCTGTCCAGAGATAAGGAGAACCGGAGCCAGGAGCAGAGGTGCAAGACTATCATCCCAGCCTGGGAAGGCTGAGGTGGGGGATCACAAGACCAAGGCCAACCTGGACTAGAGGGAGATCACATCTCAAAAAAAAAAAAAAAGGATGGATGGATGAAGGATGAAAGGACGGATAAAAAGAGAAAGGGAGAAGAGGAAGAAGAGGGGGGAGGGAGAGGGAGAAGAGAGGAATTTAAAGCTAGAAAGGGGGCGAGGAAGGTACAGTCACTGATTTCCCAGAGGACATCAGGCAGGGAGAAAGTACCCCAGCCAAGAATTCCCCCCTCAGTAACGGAGCGTCTCAGAAATGGGAGAAGGGTCCTTCCAAGCAAAGCTGGAAGGTTCCTCATCACTGGCCTGGTAAGAAACAGGGATGGATGGACTGTTCCAGCCGGACGCATGGGGAAAATATAATTATATCAGGAACACACACCGGTTAACTCTTTAGGAGGGGTAAATTCATGACTGAATTCAAAATACTCCATTACTGTGACACAAAGTACCAGCTTCCAAAATTTAAACCTTTTCTTTTGGGGGAGGTGAGTTAGACGCTGTGGTAAGGTGCCTACGAAGGCCAGAAGGCGGAGTTGGCTCTCCCAGGTGATTGTGAGTGGCTGACATAGGTGCTGGGAAACACAGTCCCCTGCAAATTTCAAGTGGGAAGAATAAAAGTCAGATGGAGTCAAGTGTGGTGGCCCAATCCTGTAAGCCGAGCAACCACGAGACCTCAAGGCCAGCCTGGACGTGTGACCCGGGACAACAAGGAGCTCCCAACAGCAAATATCTACATCAACACAGGGAACCTGGGGCTCAGAGAAGCTGGCACTTGCTCTATCATGAGGGCCAGGTCCTGTTCCCACGGAGGAAGTCAGACTGAGGGACTAAGGGTGGAGGATTGCTGGGGCTTGCTACCTTCTAGCCTAAGCCAAGAAACATGAGTTCCAGACTCCAGGGGAGCCCCTGCCTCAAAGAAACAGATAATAGAGGGTCAGTGGTAGAGGAGGATATGCAATGCCCTCTTCTGGCCTACATACATGCACAAGCGCATACACTCACAGAGAAGGATATGCAATGCCCTCTTCTGGCCTACATACATGCACAAGCGCATACACTCACAGAGGAGGATATGCAATGCCCTCTTCTGGCCTACATACATGCACAAGTGCATACACTCACAGAGGATATGCAATGCCCTCTTCTGGCCTACATACATGCACAAGCGCATACACTCACAGAGGAGGATATGCAATGCCCTCTTCTGACCTACATACATGCACAAGCGCATACACTCACAGAGAAGGATATGCAATGCCCTCTTCTGGCCTACATACATGCACAAGCGCATACACTCACAGAGGAGGATATGCAATGCCCTCTTCTGGCCTACATACATGCACAAGTGCATACACTCACAGAGGATATGCAATGCCCTCTTCTGGCCTACGTACATGCACAAGCGCATACACAGAGGATATGCAATGCCCTCTTCTGACCTACATACATGCACAAGCGCATACACTCACAGAGGAGGATATGCAATGCCCTCTTCTGGCCTACATACATGCACAAGCGCATACACTCACAGAGGAGGATATGCAATGCCCTCTTCTGGCCTACATACATGCACAAGTGCATACACTCACAGAGGATATGCAATGCCCTCTTCTGGCCTACATACATGCACAAGTGCATACACTCACAAACACAGTAATAGAGACAAGGGCTCAGAGTGGCTCAGGAGTTACAAGCACTTGCTGTTGCAGAGGACCCAAGTTCAATTCCCAGCACTCTCTTCAAGGGGCTCACAACTGCCTATCACTCCAGCTTCAGGGCATTCAACACCCTCTTCTGGCTTCCATGGGCAGCTTCTCACATATATACACAAATATAAGTAATGAATAGAGCTGGCATGTGACGGCGCACGCCTTTAATCCCAGAGGCAGGCAGATCTCTGTCAGTTCAAAGCCAGCCTGGTCTACAGAGCGAGTTCTGGACAACCAAAGCTACACAGAGAAACTCTGTCTCAACTCCCTCCCAAAAAATAATAAATCTCAAAACATTCTTATATTAAGAAAAATCTCGGCACGCAGCGCGGGGGGAGGGAGCACACAGCGTGCGCGCGCCCTCCGCCTCGTCCGCCGCTGCCGCTCCTGCTGCTGCCTGTGTCTCCTTCAGTGCGGACCTGGTGCCTCTTTTGTGAAGCGGCCGCTGAGGAGACTCCGGCGTTCACCATGGCCGACGAGAAACCCAAGGAAGGAGTCAAGACCGAGAACAACGACCATATTAATTTGAAGGTGGCGGGGCAGGATAGCTCTGTGGTGCAGTTTAAAATTAAGAGGCATACACCACTTAGTAAACTAATGAAAGCCTATTGTGAACGACAGGGTTTGTCAATGAGGCAGATCAGATTCCGGTTTGATGAACAGCCAATCAATGAAACAGACACACCTGCACAGTTGGAAATGGAGGATGAAGATACGATTGATGTGTTCCAGCAGCAGACAGGAGGTGTCTACTAAAAAGGGGACCTGCTACTTTACTCCAGAATTTTGTTATAGACCAAGAATACATTAGCAATTAGAAAGCCGCAATTTGGTTCCACCACATCCTGACTACTACAGTATAGTTTTCTCTATTCTTTCATTTCCCTGTCCCCATTTCTTTATTGTACATAAAGTAACTGGTGTATGTGCACAAGCATATTGAGCTTTTTTCTTTCTTTCTTTCTTTTTCTTCTTTTTTAAACTAAATGGCCAATGTTCTGTTTTGATTGACAGCAGATGGAGGTGGTCTGGGGGAAAGTACTGGTTCTGGGAAATAACCCCCTGCTCCATTAGTGCCATGCTCGCTCATCAGCTCTTATCTTTATATTCCAGTAAGTTATTTTGCTCTCAATGTTTTAACAAAAGAACCCAACCACAAAATCCTTGCATACCTTGTTCGATTGGAGAATTTTAATGTTTTTCATTTATCATTGTAAAACCAAGGACAATTTTATAACTTTTTTGTACGTAGCTGTTACATGTAGGGCAATCTGTCTTTAAGTAGGGATAAATTACTCTTGAACAAAATGATCCTAGATAGTTTTCCCTTCAAGTCAAGTGTCTTGTTGTTTAAATAAACTTCTTGTTTAAAAAAAAAAAGAAAAATCTCAAATAAGCAATTTTGGGATTTTTATTTGTTTGTTTTTGGAGACTGGTTTTCTCTGTAGCTTTGGAGCCTGTCCTGTCTCTTCCTCCTGAGTGCTGGGATCAAAGGTGTGCGCCATCACTGCCCAGCCTAAATAAGCAACTTAATGCTGCCCCTCAAGGAACCAGAAAAATAATCAAATCCATGGTCTCGGGGGATGGCTCAGCAATTAAGAGCACTTGTTGGCCTTGCAGAGGATAAATTTGACTTCCAGCATCCACATGGGGGAGGAAGGCAGACAACCACCTGTAACTCCAGCTCAGAGGATCCAACACCCCCTTCCAGGTTTCTCAGGCACCCACATACATGTGCACATCCTCACACAGACACATGTATATTCACATAAATAAAAATAAAACTTTACATTGATGAAACAATGAATTTCTTTTTAAAAAATTAAAAGAACAAAATCCAAACCTAGGAAAAGAGTCAACAGAGATCAGAGAACATGTAAATAGAATAGAGGCCAAGGGAAAAGCACAGGGCTGGGGATGTCAGTGGTCACTCAGGAGGTGCAGCAGGAAGATGGGGAGCTAAGGCCACCCTCCCCACATAACAAGGACAGCCTGAGATACATCAGACATTGTCTCAAAAAACATGAAAATATTAAAATACATGCGATCCAGCGATACACCGATGTGCCCAGAGAAGACGAAACCAGGGTGTATGTATCTGCTGCAGGTTGGGTCACAGACACCAAGAACTGGAAGCAATCTCAAGGTCCAGGGCTGGGAAGATGGCTCAGTCAATCAAGCAGGTGGGTCTAAGCCCAATCCTTGGGACTGTAAATGTAAAAATGCCACGTCTGGTGGGTCGTGCTTACAATCGCAGAGCCAGAGACACCGAGCTGGCATCTCTCGGAGGACTCGCTGGCAGCCTTGCCCACACAGTGAGCTCCAGGCCACAGTGAGACAGGAGTGGCTTGGATCTGCAGTAGCCCAGCAGACCCAACTGTGGCAAGCCAAGTCTGGAAGGTCAGAAATTTAGAAATGATCACACAAGGCTTATCCTGAGAGGTTGGAAAGGGTGAGGCCAGCTAGGGAAACTGGGCCACAGACTGTTTGGTCACTCTCCTCTGAGTAGATCGTTACAAGATAACAATCTAGAAGTTCACTGGCCATCTCACAGTGCCCCGCTCCTGGAGTAAACGCCAATCAGAAGAGAACCACAGAGAAGACAATCCATATACTTATGCAGATAAACCAAGATCTCAGTCAGGGTAGGACTAAAAATTACCGCCAACCTCAGAGAGTTCAAGGCCAGCCTGGGCTACACAAGACTTTATCTAAACTGGAAGTCTGAATCTTCATTTGTGATGTGGATGGACCTGAGAACAGACATAGGCCCGGAAAGGCCAACGTCACTCACATGGACTCTGCAACAGCTGACCTCAGCAGAGGAGAGAGAACAGTGGGTGCCAGAAAGAGGGAGGGGGACATGTGAGAGGTGCGCCCAAAAGTTCTCAGACACAGCAGACAGGAGCGGTGTGTCCCGGGGGTCCTCCTGCACAGCACGACCTTCCGGTCAGGATTGGTGTGCTGCGTATTTCAAGATAACAAGGGGTTGTCAGCGCCCTTACCACAAGTGATAAATGTACGGGACAACGCGCTAATCGCCATGGTGAGCCATCACAGACTGTACCTGTGAACCGCCCCACAGTGAACCTCACAAATACGGACAAGCCAGACCAGCAAGATGGCTTCGTGAGCAAAGACGCTTGCAAGCCCAACAGCCTGAGTTCGAGTCTTGGTGCCCGCACAGTGGAAGATCCAACTCCCAGAAGTCCTCTGACTTCCACAATGCTCACCCCTCACCCTCTCTCACAAAAAATAAACGTTAAAAAAAATAAGGCACCAGGTGAGTTAGGGGTCAGAGTGCTCCACGCAGCCTGAGCTTGCAGTCCTCACCTATGAAATGAGGACACCACCTTTTGGAGTTCTTGTGAGAATTCAGTGTGGTGTGGGGATGGAAAGGCTGGAGGGGGACAGCAGAGCCTGGTGGAAGAGCAGTGGGAAACAGCAGCCACTTTGCCTCCTTCCTTGGAGTGAGCGGTAAGCAGAATCGTAGGACTTCCTCTCCCCAGACAGAGGAACCAAAAGAACAGAACTCACCTCCCCTGCACCCACCCAAGAAGCTGGAACCAAGCAGGGGCTCCATCCACTGACCTCACTCACCCACCCCACCCGAGGAGCTGGAACCAGGCAAGGCTCCCTCCGTCCACTCACCCACACTGACCAGCCAAGGCTAAGGAGAACAGCTGTGCCTGCCCTCACCAGGTTTCACTGGTGACATCGGTGACAAAGGAACGAACCTCCTCTGCAGCAGCAACACTGCAGGGAACAGGAGTCAGAGGACAGGGGCAATATGGGAGGATGGGACGTGATCCTGTCAGCAGGGAGCCGAGGAATGATTAGGCATTAACCAGGAGAGGAAGGGCAGCATGGCAAACCTGAGCACAACCACAGAAGCCCGCGTCTCTCACCTCCACGCACACGCCATGCTTCACGCCCAAACATACATGCCCCCCAACAATAAGTAAATTTTAAAGGGGGTGACTGAAGAGGTGGCTCAGTGGATAAGAGCACTTGGTGCTCTTACAGAGGACCCAGGTCGCCCTTCCCAGCATCCACCTCAACTCCAGCTCCAGGGACTTTGATGCCCTCCTCTAGCACCCACGGTCATGTTCACAGGCATGTGGCATACACTCACACAGACACACACATAAATACAAACAAGGCTTTTATAAAGATGGCTGAGACTTTCAGAAAGAAGACTGTAACAGCAAAGGTGGCCTCTGCTGGGCAGGTGGGCTTTAGGACACACAGGCCTCCGTCAAGGAATCACTGGGCTACGGATGGAAGCAAGGGAGTTAGGCCAAGGAGAGTGTGAAACAGGCCAAGCCTGGGTGAGCTCCCCCACCAGCTAGCACAACGGAGAGCCCTGCAAGGGAGCCCTTCTCCTCCAGGTCTCTGAGACGTCATCAGGACATCAGTCATGGAGAAGGGCTGGCCTGGCCTCAGGAACTAGTTCAAACCCACTATCAAAAATGCAGACCTTGAGCAGGCACAGCCTCCCATCCGGAGGCTGATTAAATATGTAGAACTGGAGCAGACCTTGAGATGCGGCACTGGGTAAAGGGGAGGGAGAGGAGGCTGCCACTGCCATCGCTGGCAAGGCGCCTGGACTGGGCCTCCAGCAGCGGCTGCAGCAGCAGCACCCAAACCCACTTACCTGACAGGACCCCTGGACCTTGGACTTGGACTGGCTCCTTGTCTCGCTCGTCTGCCTGCTCCGAGTTCTCAACAACCTGGTCCAACTCCTCGCTGAGCTAGAGAAGGAAGGGAAAACGCAGCTCAGCTGGGGCAGCCTTGCCTCTTCGAGGCCAAAAAGCAGAAGCTGCCATCTACATAACTGTCACACAGGCACAAAGACCACATGACACAGGATGTGTGAGACCGATGTCACTGTGTTCTCTCACAACCTGAGGCTGGCTCCCTCGGAGCTGTGAGGGAGACAAGTTCCCAGCCTGTCTCCTAGCTTCTGGTGATAGCCAGCAACCCCTGGCATTCTCTGGTGTCTAACCACAGCCCCCATCTTCACATGGCCCCGTGCAGCGCGTGCCCCCCTGAGGGCATCTTCAAGGACACTCACCAGGCTAGATTTGGGGAATACACCCAAGTGAGTATCTCCATTTACAAACAAGACAAGTACAGGCATCACACATCTCCTGGGAAACGCCCACCCACAGCCACAGCGCCAGTCAATGAAGGAGTAGCGCCACTCGGGTCTAGTTCCAAAGCCCGTGGTCCTAACCACTTCCCAGAGGAAGAGGAAATGTGGCTGGCTTAGAGTCTACTCAGAGAGAGATGAGAACAGCAAAGCTGGTGCCAGAGCCATGTGGAGGCATTGAAGCCCACAAATGTGGGTGCAAACGGCAGAACACAGGAAGGATGCCCAGGTAACAAGCATTGATTGGCAGCCGGGTACCAGGCAACCACAACCTCATCAGTGTTCCCACCTGACCCATCAGAGGCAGAGATCTTGGCACTGAGATAGAGATTAGAGTAAGTGTCCTATCGCTTTAGGAAGGAGGCAGATGAAGTCAGTTTGGAAGGATTCCATCCAACTGGGAGGAGGAATAGCTTCCCAGGCTCATGGTTTTATCAAGTAAAGTTACAATGTACCTTTTCCCCCCTCTTGAGACAAGGTCTCATGTAACCCAGGCTGGCTTCAAACTCCCCACACTGGAGAATGACCCTGAATTTCTAATCTTCTGCGTCCACCTACTAAGTGCTAGGATTAAGCACTCCAAGCTGCACCAACTCAGCTATGAACATCCCCAGTCCTCAGGGAGCTTTCTAATCCATCCCACAATGATTTAGGGGAAAAAGTCTCAAGAGAGATAGTGGTCCCCGGAAGCCTGGAACTCCTCAGGAGCCAAGCCTGGCTGCAACACTCCCTCCCCTCAATACCAGCCTGACACACAGCAGCCTTTGCCTGGCCCGGCATTCTCAGAATGCCCCATCCTGGAGCGCCAGAACCTTTCCTCAGCAGACACCCAGAGTCAGGTCCACTCTCAAAACAATCCAGGCAAGAAAGACGCGGGTCAATCTCTAGGCAGTCTTCCTGGAAGTTCAAAACACACCTGAAGATGGTAAAGTGAGGGGACCCTTCTAGAGCCTTCTACTCATTGGGCATGGCTCCAGTGAACACGAGATTCCACCTGTGGCCTTGCTCTGCAAACAGGGCAGCAGCCTGGACTTCAATAAATTATCTTAGAAGCCCTGCTAAGTAAGGAGATACAGGCCATGTGTGGCTGAGCCGCGGTCCTTGGAAACCAAGACACCCCCCCCCCCAACTCCCCAGAAACAGGAGTTGATAACATCCTGTTATTCACTCGGGGTCACTAACTCAACAGGGCGCTGAGCTCAGCACTCTGCCAACTCGTGTGGAGACCGTGAGCCTCCGTGGGTGGAAATGGTTACAAAGACCAGCTGCTGGGCTGTGGAAACCTGCTGAGAAGCTTGGGCTGCTCGGGTTGGATAAGGTCTAACGGTGTGGGGCGGTGGCACCGCCTTGAGCAAACCTGGAGAGTGGTGGCAGACGGCCTAGGATGCGGCGCCGCGGGGAGACACCCAGGGCAGGGCCGGGGCAGTCCCAAGCCAGAGAAACACAGGGACACGGAGCGAGCGCGGCTCTACTACGGGAAGCCCGAGGCTCGGGCGACAGACAAAGAGCTGCAGGGCTTGTGGGGCCGTGGAGGCGGCGGAGAGCCGCGAAGGAGCGGCCGGCTACGCGCTTTTCCCACAGCCCGAGGCCAAAGGCCCGGTCGCCTAGCGTGCGGGGACCACGCAGCGGCTCCACCTGCTGCAGAGCCCGCACGCCCGCCACGGAGTGCCAATCATCCACCTGCGCGGGGGTCGCGATGCCCTGCCCGCCCCCCGCGCCCGCCTGGCTCGCACCTCCTGGTAGGATGTGGAGAGGTCCTGTCGGATCATGGCACTAAACCCGCGGCGGCTCACCCGGGACCGCAACGCAGCGGAGGCGCGCGCTCCAAGATGTGCCCGTTCCAGTAAGCCAGACCCGCTCGCGTCTACGCCAGGAGACAAGGCGTGGCGGCGCTCGGCGCATGCGCGCCTCCTGCTGCCGCCGGGCCCGCGCGGGCGACACTGGGAGATGTAGTTCCGTGTGCCGGGGAGAGGCTACGAGAAGAATCAGTGGGGCTCTACCTCCTGCCAGAGAGGCAAGCACGAGTCATACACTTCCTTTGTCAGGCAGAGGAACCGAGTGCCTGAGTGCAGCGTGGCACGGGGTCCAGGTCAGCTGGGTCGGAGTGCACAGTAACGGGAAGAGGAAACTTGGCCTTGTGGTTTAAAATGGGAATAAATGTCCAGAGAGCCCTGTATTACCAAGTTCTCCATGCACTTATGTCTCGATCCTTCCAGACATCCTGCAATGGGAACGTTCTTGTTACAGATTATGAAATTGAGGTACTGGGGATACCTTGTATCAGAAAGGATAGGGAGGGAGTGGTGATCAAGACGTTATTGCATCTGGGACAGGACTAACAAAATTCCGAAGGGCGGGGGAGGGAGAGACAATCTCTCACCTTGTAGATCAAGCTGGCTTCGAATTCATAGGCAGTAACTGTGTCTCAGCTTCCCAAGTCCTAGGGTTATACCTTTCTCCTTCATATCGTCTTTAAACTTTAAAAAAAAGATTTATGTATTTAGTGTGTGTGTGTGTGCCTCCTGTGTGCAGGTGCCCAGGGAGGTCAGAGAGGGGCATCATACACATGCCAGCCTCCTATGTATGCTGGGAACCAAACCCAGGTCCTCTTCAGCCGGCTCCTTGATTCTCAAGTTGCACACTTGGAAGTCGGACTTTGCCCCTCACCCACGATTTTTGCCATGTTCCGAGCCCTCCTTTGTCTACCATTGTGGCCAACAGCGTAGTTTCACAGTACCTTGTAAGAGGCACCCACATACCTGTTCAACCTTGAGCCACAAGCTCTAAATGGGGGGGAATGGAATGTTTGTGCTGTAACTGGGAGGACTTGAGAACCACATCTTCCTCTTCTCACTGCCTAGAGCCACTCAGCTGTGAAGCAGAGGCTGCTTATTAAATCTCAGCGAGCATTGCTCTGTGCCCCCTGCAGCTTGGCAGCCCCGCCCCCAACCTACTCATGGCATTTGACTCCTTCCCCTCTCAGTGGCAAGCATAGCGGCACCAACCACACCAGAGAATCCTGGGTCTCCGTAGGTTCTCTTTGGAAGGTCTTGTATCTATAGCAGCGGCAGCCAGTAGTGCCCCAGACTAGCGAGAGCCGTAGCAAGTGGCGCCCTCTAGTGTTACAGCTCCCATCCAAGCCTCCGATAACAGGATCCTTAGCTACAGAGCCCTGTTACACATGCCTGTAGCTCTTACACATACCTAGGTACCAGGACCCTACGCTCTACAATGTTACAGCTCTTATTAGACACAGTAAAGCAGGGATCCCCAGCCTTGGCAGCAGCCCGTATTCCAACTCCTGAGCCATCTAACTTTTACACCCAGGCTTTTTCCCTTCTCACTTCTGTATCTTACTTTCACACTTACTAGGTGGCTGGCTGATTGCTTATCCCTAGTGTCCCCTCCTCCTCCGTTTATCCTCTCTAGCTGCCAGCCCCGCCTCTCCTTGCTCCTGCCTTGCTATTGGCCATTCAGCGCTTTATTAGACCGTCAGGTGTTTTAGACAGGCAAAGAGTCACAGCTTCACAGAGTTAAACAAATACAGCATAAACAAAAACAACACATCTTTACATCCTTAAACAATGTTCCAGAGCATAAACAAATGTAACACACCTTAAAATAATATTCTACAACAGGGTGGTACCAATCACAGAAAACTTCACATGCAAATGAGGGTTTGCATTTTCACCAATCACGCATCACCCTGCTAGGCCACCAGATGAGTGCCCTTCATCTGGCCTAAGTAGAAATGTTTGTGGGTTTCCTAGAGCTCCACAGGCTTGTGATGACGAGTAGTTTGTGATGGCCTGGGAAGCAACCCTGGCTGAGGTTGCACCTTCAAGAGCCAAAGCAACGGGTTGCAATAGCTGGATAGATTTCTAAGGCTCCTGTGGCGTGTTCAGAATAGCTGGCGCTGTCGTAAGGTAGTCTAACTGGCGGTCTTTCTGCCTAGGACAGCCAGGACAGCCCATCCAGGTCTGGTTATGGCATTCCTCACCCCATCCCATAAATGCCTTTGCTTTATGTATATACACCAGAAATGACCATCAGAAGGAATAGTTAAGAATTCAGCAGATCTTTGATAAAAGCTTAACCATCCTCAACACCTGCCTGTACCAGGGAGGGGTGGGTTTCGTTTGTTTATCTTACGTCACCCTCCCTGCCCTAGGTCCTCTGCTCTTACGTCTATTAAATGAACCAGTTTATAGACAATGCACACTTGATCATAGCCAAAAGCCCGAGAAGCAGCTCTAGACAGTGTGTATAGCACCTAACACAGTGTAGGGGCTCAGCAAATATTGGTTAAGTTTATCAATAGAATACTGGCTCAGCCATCTCGCTTAAGAAGAGCTCACAGCACTCGTTGGTTTTTAGATCAATTTGACACAAGCTGGAGTCATTTTGGAGGAGGGAACTTCAGCCGAATACCTGGCCCCACCGGATGGGCCTGTGGACAAACCTGTGTTGCGTCTTCTTGATTGAAGAGGGGCGTAGGAGGGCCCAGCTCATGTGGGCACTGCTGCCCTGTGCTGATGGTCCTGGTTTCTCTAGGAAAGCAGGTTGATCAAGCCACAAGGAGCAAGCAGCTCTCCTCCATGGCCTCTGTGTCAGCTCCTGTCCAGACTTCCCTAGACGGTGGATTTAGAAGCTGTAAAGTCAAATAAACCTTTTCCTTCCCAAGTTACCTTTGGTCATATTTTACGAAAGCAATAGAAACCTAAGTAAGACATCCACGAAAATACAAGCAACTAATGACATTTCTTACTGTATCAATAAAGGGTAGCTGACGGAATGTGTCACACAAGGGTTTTACAGCTGAAAGAAACCAGGTAAATTTACCCCAGCCAGACTGGACAAAGACTCGTTTGAAGTGAATACTGGCTAATGCGAGAGTCAACCCAGTTTAACAAACACAATGTACCATGCCCACACTGGATCCAGAAGTGACTGAGACACCCAGCACTCTGTCCCAGTGGATCTGTGTGCAAGTGCAGAGGGACCATAAAATGGGGATTTCAGCCCTTGATGTCCCCAAGGCCTCTTCTCCCACCCTCCTGAGCAGTCAGGCTTCATGAGTGTGACTTCTGCTTTGTCAAACCAGGTGCCTGTTTCCTCGTGTCTCTTCCTGTTTTTTTGATGTTCCATTGGTATGCATGTGTGAGGTGGTAGGTGGTGTGTGTACTTGCCACGGTGTGTCCACGGATGTCAGAAGACAACCCCTTAGGGTCTGCTTGCTCCTTCCACCGTGATCCCAGGACTGGACTCAGTAGTAAGGCTGTCAAGGCAAGGAGCGCACCACTGAGCCATCTCACCATCCCTCATGCTTCTTACCCTTGTTCTCTCTGCAGCACTGCACCCCAAACTCCTTTCCTGCGGGCACACTTTTCCCCTGCCTTGGAGGACCCCTTGATGCTACCGTATTTATTACCAGCCTTGTGCTCTGGCTCCTCCTCCTGGCTCCACAAAGTGACCATCTTCGAAACTAGCTTCATCTCCATTCCTCTGGTTCCCTAGGGCCAGGGAAGTGGCCATCCCTGTCTCATGGCATCAATTATTCTCTCTATCCTAGAGCCTTGTAATAAATTTATGTCCCCTCTAAATGCTCAGAAGTGCCTCAGAATGTGACTTTGTAGGAAACAGGGTCACTGGAGAGTTAATCAGACATACGTAGAATGGGATGGGCCCTGTCCAATAGGACCTGTGTCCTGATGAGAAGATGGAAGGTGTCTTATTCACGGTCCTATTGCTGCGATACAACGCCACGAGCAAGGCCACTTATAAAAGGAAGAAGTTAATTTGCTTTTCGTTTCAGAGGTTAGAGTCCACAATGGTGGAGTGAGGCTCACATATTGCTTCATCTGCAACCATGAGACAGAGAGAAAGCTCTAAGAATTCCATAAATCTTTTGAAACCTCAAAGCCACCCCAGTGACACACCTCTCCTCCAACAAGGTCACGCTTCCTAATCCTTTCCAAATAGTTCCAACAACTGGGGACAAAGCATTCAAGTATATGAGCCTATGGGAGGCGTCCTCACTGAAACCACCACACACTGTGAGGGGCACAGCCCAGGGAGCCAAAGTGGCTCCAGTCACTCACATGGTGGCTGCAGGTCTCCACTCCATTCCTGGGCCATGTGCCCCGGTACAGCTCTGAACCCAGCCCAAGAGAAAACCACAAACTTAAGATATGAATCTTTTTTGTAACTTGATTGCATAGTTCCTAAACATGAATGTTGTGGATGACATCATCATGTTACAAGGCCAAAAGACTGAGCATACCTGTAAATCATCAGTCTGTGCTCCTCCAGCACAGCGGGTCTGTGCTTCTCCATCAGTCTGTGCTCCTCCAGCACAGCGGGTCTGTGGTGCTCTAGCACAGCAGGTCTGTGGTCCTCCAGCACAGCGGGTCTGTGGTGCTCTAGCACAGCAGGTTTGTGGTCCCCCAGCACAGCGGGTCTGTGGTCCTCCAGCACAGCGGGTCTGTGCTCCTCCAGCACAGCGGGTCTGTGCTCCTCCATCAGTCTGTGCTCCTCCAGCACACCGGGTCTGTGGTCCCCCAGCACAGCGGGTCTGTGGTCCCCCAGCACAGCGGGTCTGTGCTCCCCCAGCACAGCGGGTCTGTGGTCCCCCAGCACAGCGGGTCTGTGCTCCCCCAGCACAGCGGGTCTGTGGTCCCCCAGCACAGCGGGTCTGTGGTCCCCCAGCACAGCGGGTCTGTGGTCCCCCAGCACAGCGGGTCTGTGGTCCCCCAGCACAGCGGGTTTGTGGTCCCCCAGCACAGCGGCCCTAGGAAACAAACCAACTCCCAAATGCCTGCTCTCTGAGGCCTCGGCTTGCGTGCCCAGTTGTCGGTGCCGCTCC